CTATGGACAATTATTCAACCACCTTTCAAGTAGCCTAATTAGAAATGCTAGAGTGAATGCAAGTCCGGCTTTTAAATTCTTGTTCACCAGAAATTTTCTGCTTTTGCTCCTTTATCAAATAAAGTATTCAAGTAGGGATCAATAAATATAATTGGGTGGAGGAGGGAGGTTTATTCAGCAAATCACAATTCCTGTAATTGCTCCCTACAACCATTAAAGTGGCAATATACATTAAGCAATACAATTTCAGAATTATTACCTTAGATTGAAGAATTATGTTATGATAAAATATTTGGGGAAATCAATGCTCAGAGCAAAATATTGTCAAACTGGGAGTAACAGAAATGTTAGTTATGACATGTTTACTATACTGAAATGAATCATTAATTGTCGGTCGAACCATAACATTGTTGTTGATTAAAATTTTTATTGCAAGTAGGTTTGCAATTGATTTCCACCTTGTACAATTTATTTATTTATTTGTTTATGTATTCCAGAATACTACTTTCCTTTAATTGTTAACTTATCGTACAGTGTAACTCAGCGCTGAAAAGATTTTCGTGTTTTCTGAAACAATTGACATTTGTGTAAAGTACACCTGCGCTTCGAGTACTTAGTATTTTTTGACATTTAGTCGCGGTAGGAACCGTAAACTAACATCCGGTTGTTGTATTGGTAATCACATTTCATACATCGAAAAATAATTAGCGTTCACAACTTTGGGTTCATTTTCATAATGTCAGTGTTTTGTTTCCAACCTATTCTTCTGGTAGCCATTCTGGAAGTGATGCCACTTCTGTTAAATTTTTTGCTTATTTGGAGTTATTTAGGCTACGAAAAGTCTTAAGTGGGAAGGTAAGAAAGTAATTAAATACATTTTATGGTGCTAATACGAAAACAACTTTCTTTGGAAGGCGTTCATACGTGATAAGGTAAGACAAAGCGTACTTAATGGCACAAACCTTGCTGACAAAACGAGGTTAGGTAAGTAGAAGTGGGAAGGTGCTTACGAGAATCGACTTTTAATTTGGCCGAAAGTTGGGTTTGAATACGTTGGCGTCTCGCTGACCGGTTTCATTACAGACAGAATTCAATCAAAACATGAGTTATTGTAGACTAGTTGTTTGCTTGGTTCTTTAAATAGTTCAGCTTTAAGTGGGCTCTAAACTATTGAAGCGTAGTACTGTCAGACAATTAGATAGTGAATTGTAATTAATTAATTTATTAAAACTTGGCTGGTACTGACTAACAGCTGATAGTCTAGAAGATGTTTTCTTTTCCGTTTGAACAAAATATCATAATTTTTTTCTTATTGTGCATGCAGCAAGATAAATGGACTCGCATATCATTTTTCAAAAGCCAATAATATTTGCCATTTTCACCCAGACGCTATCGAAGGTAGGTTTCACCAGGAACTAAGCATTGCTGGAGTTATTGTTGGTGGTAATGTGATAAGAACTAAGTTCGCCAATCTATTAACTAATGAACTAGAACCTAACCGTGGAAGTTAAGTTTAGGGCCAGTAACTGGCAAGGCAAACAACAGTTCAAAATTTTAGAATACAACAGTCTTTGGAGGCTCTGATTCGAGAGAGTAAAGGGGGGGGGAAGAGTGGAAGATGGGGGGGGGGGCGTATGGGTAAGTAATTGGCAAACTAGTGCATGATTGTGTGTATTGATGCAAGTGTAAGTACAAAGACAATTAGCCGTCACTTGGGTGTATGTGCGCTTTTAAATTAAATGGAATAGTTAGGGAAACGGGAGAATCGATAGGCTATTCTACACAATGGTAGGGGTTGAGTAAATACGGACAATCGTCGTTTCTTTTATAAAGTCTGTGTCTAATGGGTAATGTTGGAAAATGCATTTTGACATCATTACCGTCCTGAACTGAATTCTCAACGATAGTTTCTTCAAATTTCACTTTCCCCTTTTTGGAGCCGAATGTTTCCATTGGAAGCTTTGCATCTTCTTGTTCAACTGATTTTATGAAATGAGTATTAATTGATCTATCACTTCAGGGTAAATAAATTAAAGATTTGATTGCTTGGACATGGGAAATCAATTATTAATTTTTCCGCGTTTTTGAATTAACGCCTTCTTGGTACCCTAAATTAACATTAAAATAATCAGAAGTTATGTATTGTGTATGTGGATTAAAAGTGGTAGTAAAGGTCAACCTTTTCTCTACTTTCACACGCCTCCTCACTTGTCGTTGTTTTTTCCAGTATCAAAATTGTGGGAGAATAAAGTACTTAACAATCGCTGGGATAATTAACATGTACCTTACTATTGTATTAGGGTGCCACATGGTGCTTATCGATTATGATAGCCAATATACCCTATTCGCTTGAATTTTAAGAGCGCGTTTTCAACTTGAAGTTTCCTATTTAATGTTGAAGGAAAAGAAATTAAAAAGGTGAGGTGAGTACTGCGAAAGTTGTCAAATATGACATAGAGTGGGGTCATGGAAGTTTGAAGTCAACTATCGGTATATAGACTTTTTGTTGTATGAGTATACGTTGCCCAGGGGGCACCACATGGAGGTAAATCCATCGCGGACCCCACGATAACTATTCTAAATCCTGCCATTTGATATGAATCGATGAAAAGCCTATAGAGGCTTTACCTTCTTGGCTCATCTTAGATAAAGGCCGTGTTTACAGTAATGATTTTTAAATTTGTAATATGTTACGCTCATATCTTAAGGCAAATTCATAACAAAAAGCCAATGATGTTTCCTGTGAGGTATAAGCAAACAATTTCCTCTTCCCAACACGAACCTAGTTGTGTATTGAAATTGTGGCAGCAGGTGTCTGCCAAGTTGCCCATCAATCTTATTAGTATCCAGGTCTGGTGTGCCTTTCAGCTTGCTTGTTAGTCTTGACAAAACCTCCCAACTCTCAAGCTATTTGTTGACCTTATAAAACCAATCTATAAAGTGGTCTAATAAAACCAGTCTGGGTAAAAGTACTTTACAAAATAAACTGAAACTGCGGGTATATGTTAAGGCAATTTTAATTAAGAAGGTATAATGAATACAGTTATTTTGTCGGCGCATGTAACTATGAGCGAAAAAAATGAAAACTTAAAAATCATGAACGGAACATCTATGCTGGAACTGAAAACTTGTATTATTATTCAGGCAGGTCCGCTTAGTCATAACTTCTTAGTAGCGAAAAGCAACTTTATCCAATCAGGATCCTATGGCTTGATGAAAGTTCAACAAATGAATAGCGAATGTGCTATTGCACTTTTTCACCATTGGCAAAGTAATAGCATTCGAAGACTTCAGCTAATTCCCAGAAGAGGGATCATTTAAAACACTTACGTAAAGAACCGTTTTTATATCTACGCTTCATGACTGAACGATTCAAGGGAATTTGAGTTTATAATTTTACCTAACTTGTAGATTACCCTGAACCGCTTTCATTAGTCAAGTCTTAGAGCCACGCTAACATCAGTTCGTCTACCAAACTCCTCTTTATCATTGTGTACCTAGGCATAAGTTTACTCCTGGCCCGACTCTACCATTCGGGGTTTCTTTCAAGAAATAACTCTATTCTCATCTTTCCAAGTCTCAGAGTTAGGCCCTTCAACTAGTTCTTCTCTAGCAACTACTCCTACCAAATGCGTTTGTAGCCATCGTTTGATCTCTCATTGAAGTACTTTCACAATCAGCTCCCCTGTCTCCTGTTTTCCTTTTGCGTTTTTAAATTTATTAAACGTAAATTTGAGCCTATCTAAAAACATCAGAGAGGATGAGATATTGGGAATGTTTTAAGATTTGATTGGATTAATGATTTCTATTTGATGACAAATGCCTGGAGGTCAAATCTCAGCTTCCAAGGGCAGTGTAAAAGGAATTGAACTTAAATTTCCACTTGCTTTATTTTGCTGAAAATAAGCTTGATTAGGACGGATGAAATGGTAAAATACTTTCTCTGAAACTTCTTATTTAACAACAGTGATAAACACTAAAAGTGATAAAAATTTTACAAGCAATTGCGTAACCAAGTTTGCATCTATTTCCCTTAGAAACGGGTAAAGAGTATGTTTAACGAATTATTGGTGAAGTATGATTGGGGCAATGATCCCGTTCATGTTACCTGAGTTAAAATTTCATTTTTAAGTACTCGAAATAGGTTTTATTGGCCTCCTGTTACAATTTACGGTCGAAATGTAGTCGTTGGTACTTAACAAAAAAAACTAGTTGTTTCCAATTAAACATGCGTTGATGGTTCTTATTGCATTTTTCTGTTTTAATGTAAATATATGTGGTTTACTTTAGCACAATTCTAATCACTTTGGTTATCCATGAATACATGTTTGCTACTGGGCAACGTATACTTACGTCAAAAAAGTTGTTGCCTAACTAATCTAATAATCTCCATGCCTAAGAATGTTTCTGGACGTTTATTTCGGTGGAAGATTAGATTTTAAGACGATTCAGTAAAAGCGACATTGATCGTCGACTTCAGTTTTATCTACATTTTCGAGATGCTATATTTCGTTGGTCGCATATATCACTTATTCACAGGCAAGTGTAGACAGGTTTGTATTTCACACAGACAAAGAAACAATAACGATTTGCTCACAAATCCTACCTCGCATAAGTGAACTTCATATTGTCTGAAATCTAGGTTTCTTAAAAGAAGACATTCGGTTTGATGTCAGAAGAAGAATATGATTGAAACTCCAAGCGGTATTATTTCATTTCAGGCCTAATAGCAGTTGCTGACTAATACCATCAAAACTAGTAAATGTATTAGAATTGTTCTACGTGCTCACAAATTATCAATCATTTATGATTTCCTTAAGTTCGACTTTAATCAATTCCTTTTAAACTCCAGTCCGTTAACATTTATAAAGAAATTACAGTAATCTTGAAATTGTGTCCTAATGTATATATTAAAGGAAAAAATTATTTCTCCTGAAATCTTGAAATTTTAGTAATATTTCAAAGTTCCTTTTTTTGACACTTTGGTTTCTGCCATGAGCTTAGGAGTGTATAATGGTAACTTGTTTCTTGCATTTTGGTGCTAACTGTTCCTCATTAGGATGCAGTTTCGGAGCGCCCGGACGGAGAAAAGCTTCCGGTGATATGAAGCCACAGGATATCCGTCTAAAAAAAGAAAAGAACAATGTAACTTCAATAGACATCATCGAAAACTATAAGTGCCCTTCTGAATATGCGGTAAAATATTAATAGAATATGACGGAGGGCAAATTTATTAATTTTCTTCAAACTCCTATTGAGTTTTTCTCGGGTTCCAATCGATATGAGCTGTGATTAAAGTTTAGTTAAATCTTATTGTATGAGCCTTTTCCGTTAAAATAAAATAAGGGAGATGTTCTTTTTTTTCTTCATTTCTCAATTTCTTTCCTGCTCTTGTCCAATTTACCATCAGCCTATCACATCTATTTCCCTCCTGACCCAAGATGGATTATTGATTTCTGCTAGGTTTAAAATACTGGTTTTCGAAATTCATGAAGCTGCAGTAGTGCTTCCCTAATTTCTCAATTATTTTACAATAAAATTCGCCCTCTTTTCTGACAAGTTACCAGGGATACCAACGAATTCGTCGTGATTAGCACCGACGGTAAAGCTTAACTGAGTACATACTGACTTTCAAAGAGATTGTTGGGAATACCACTGTTATTGTGGCTAATCCATTCGATCCAATTCCTTCCTTAACGTAAGCAAACATTCCAACTTTATAGGTTTTAGCAACCCAGCACGTTCTTTAACATTTGACAATGGGCGAAGAAATTTGATGAATCATCATACAAGTATATGCTCCAATTGTTGTGAAGTTAACCAAAAATTGTATTGTAAAATTTAAAGTAATTGATTGTCCAATGAAGTTCCAAATAAGTTGGCCAAATTCAAATATCAAATGTTTTTCCCGCTCCTTTAAAAAAGCACACTTTCACTTTTCAGTTACTTCTCAATCACTCAGAATATCTCCTGTTGATTCAACTAATAATGGTAGATTTAGCTAATTTTATTACAACTGACAAATATTCGTTATTAATTTTAGGCAATAAGAGTATTTTATGATCTAGTAATCAGCGATAGCTTTAAAATCCTTACGGGAATTGACGATCGCTTTTATTAATGGACGAAAAACTCGTTAAGAAAATAGAAGCAAGCTAAAAAATATTTTGAGAAAAGCATCCATCAATATGTTACCCAGTGGTAACACGAGAGTTTTTGAGGAGGTAGATCTGCAGACCAAGGTTGTGTTCCATTAGATTTGCCTTAGACCGTAAAATAAGGGCACACAAGTCAATTGTTCTCTTGAAGGATGTGTCAAATACGCATTGACCTGGTGTTAATGGACTATTGAGTTTATGGCTGTTTTTGGCAATTTCATAAATTTTCAACTATCGCAAAGCTTCTGTTTAGAAGAACTTAAAATTTTTAGCAAAAAGTAAAATGCTTCTTTTCGTTAACTTTGATAATGCTGTCGAGAAATTCATGGAAATAGTAAAACTTAGATGTGACAATAGAAATAGATGGAGTTCCGCTTTCGAAGTACGCTGAAGCTCCGTTTCGCATTCTTGTCCCTAAGATTCACAAAATTTCAATTTTATTGCACTACATTGAAATGACTTTACAAATCTTTAAGGCTTAGCAGTTCGAAAGAAAATCATCAATTTGCCTAAGTCTGGCATTTCGTCTTAAGCAAAATGGCACACGATGGTAGCGTCAACAAATGAAAATATGTCCCACATTGTGGACTGTTAAATCAACTTCAACAGAATTTATATCCAGCCCCGCTGTGACACTTTGGATTATTTTGTTATTCGCAGTATCTGATTGCCAATCAAATTACTAAGTAACCAAATTTATTTTGCAATCGAGTTAAAACCCAGTTTGGTAAGATTCGCTCTCGTTGATTCGCTTGCCCACCCGTGCGATTACAGAAATATGTGGAAATTTTTTCTAAATACGTTTAAGTTACTTTTAGAGGCAAGATATCAAAAAATGCTGTGTTGATGATTTGTGCATGCGCCAATGGCTTATCATTGGATTTTTCTGTTTCTAGCTCATGTGAACGAGTAGTTATTTAAAGGAGAGAAATAACCTTACCAAACATTAATAATAAAAAAATAAGGTAATACTGACTCTGTCCCTTTGGATTTGTTTTGTTTATTTGATATCATGGAAGTTTCCTCAATTACTTATTTAAAAAGTATGTAAGAATTATTTAGTCTGGAATTAGATTTCATTGATCATTTGGTAGGCATCACTTGCATCGAAAACCATGATTAGTATGTTAAAGAGCAATGACACTTTTGGGTTGTCATGACAGGGTTAACGTTGCTTATGGATTAGATATACTTTGGGTAATTTCCAGAGTAGAGCTCACAGCCTTAACACGATTAATCAATGCAATCTCATACGCGTTGAGTGTACTAGAAAGTGGGAATGTGCTTCTGGTCGTGTTAGAAAGCGAATGAGATCATGAGTACAACAGCCTCTCAGCAATCAATAGTCATTTAAAGACGCGTATCAACATACTTTATTCCGTCACATCATACTGCATATATCATAATCTTAATCATCATGGGCTCGATAAACGCATTCCACGTTATTGCTGAGGTGGCATTGTTAGTTCGAGAGGTAATTACATAGCATATAGTTTTGTCATAGAGGTTTAGCCAAGGCTTATTCGAGTAGCAATCCACTAGAAGTTAAATTTGTTGTAAATTAATTTGTTTTTCATTATTCATCACTTAAAGGAGATAGTTGCATTTAGTCAAACAAGGTGATTTAAACGTAATAGAAACAAGATGAAGGCGATTTTCAACTGTTTCCAACTAGATTCTACGATAAATGACATTTGGCAATTGAATAGAATTTTTGCAATCAAGACTATTGCCTTAAACAAAGGAATACATTCTGACCTTTTAAACTATTAATGGTGTACCTAGCCACACTCGACCTTTGTAAAAGGCGGATACTATAGAGCAACCCATGAAAGAAACTCGCATTTGATCACTCATATTATCGACTATTATTAACCTGTGCGGTTTCCAATCTACATTATCGGTGATGTAGTGCTGATAACGTGGGCACTGGCTTGGCAGAAGTACACTTTGTGAGTACACGACGTCGCCGCTGAAAAAATATTCACATGCGTACCCAAACCGGGTTGAAGGTGTGGCCGTGCGACTGCACGTAAGGAGTAAGTGTGGTCGTGGGCACGGAGAACATAGCCAACCGTCGATCAATAGTAATCGCTTGGTTTATCAAACCCGTCATATTAATATAATGAATAAACTCCTTGTCAGGACACACATACCATTCACACTTATCCCAACTAAAAGTGTTCCGTATGATGCGTCCGTTTCCTCTTTAGCGTTCTAGAAGTCTTTCCAAGCATAAGAGAACTTGGCATTGAAATTTATGAGTATAGTCAAGGCTTATTAATGTAGCAATCCGCTACAACTTTGACCACAATGTCACCAAGGGCCTTCTAACGACCTCTGATTGATAACCATTTATCACACTCCTGTTTACATCTGTAGCACCCAGAACGAAGAAATCAGCTAACTTCCTTAATTTGTAAACTGAAGTTACAGACCTTATGGGCTAACAGAATTTCTATTAGGATTTGAGACACTATGGAATGTCCTGTTACCACATTAAGCTCACAAGTTCTAGTTCGAAGTTAATTAAAATGTGATATATGCTGGTTAACATCCCTGTTTAATAAGAATGAAATTATAATATCGATACTCATCAGTGTAAATCCAATGATTTGGATGAACAGCTACGCTGATGGTAGAATTCGACTTTTTTAAATAGATGGGTTTAGTAAACATTTTTACTATATAAAAGACTATGATCAAGAACTGTTAAATGCCTATAAAAGCTTACACATCAAACGAGAGTTGAGAAAGAACATGTTCAGGATAACCAGCTGGAATATTTCCATCAATTTGGCACAGATATCGATAAAGTTCACTGAAGAGGTCAAATGGGATCCTAGCCAAGTAACCCTCTGGCTCCGTTGTAAGCAACTCACAAAGAAGTTTCATTGTAGTTGCTAAACTCTGAAAAAAATGATATAATAGATCAACAATACAATTTAGAGCCATGAAAAACATGTGGAATCTAAACCTACTGTCGCTATTTCAGTAGCAGCAATAGCAAAAAAGTAAAGCCAGCGAACATCGTCTGCGAAATTACCAATGCGCCATATTTCTTGAAGTCCTTCAATAGGCAACGAAAGTGCAAGCCATTTTTCCTCTATTGTTAATCTATCTACTCTTTCAAACCCACCTAACTTTACAAAAAATAATTTAAATTGATGGTCATTACTGCATATATAACTTAGGGTTTAAAATACCTGGTTGTGTAAAATTTTCAAAATGCCAGGAGTCAAACCAGTGTCGGTTTTTTGGGATGCTACGGCAATCTCTAGGCGCTCTTTAACAGGTGGGATTTCTCTATGCGCTAGAGCCTTAAAATATCTACAAATATATTTTTACGATATTTCATACTCATAAGACCACGCTAATGGATCTTTGGGTTGGGTTCTAATTGCAGCTTTAGTGAACTGCTTCAAAATATCTGGCAAAAGGGGAGGAATGTTGATTTGTTCGCTACAATAATAGTCCTCATCTGATGCAGACATTGGGAAAAATCAGTAACTTCGGTAAGATTCTATTACCATAGTAATGTCCTCAAATAATTATTAACAATAATATAAAATTAAATTATTTTCAAAAATCTAGTTAATATTTAAAAGCTCTTTTAAATCAAATATAAAAACCTCAAAACAAACAAATGTAAAATGTATGTAATAGGTATTATACGAGTATTTATGTTCAAAAGTGACAAATAACACATTCAGTTTTAGTGTAAATTAAGTTAATAATTCTGAAACGTTTAACTACAAAAGAAATGGATAAAATCTTAGAATTCCATTTCAGTGCTTTAGAACCTCGGTAAAATTTAGGCTAATGAGTTTGCATGATGTTATTTATTCTGAAAATATTACAGAAAGTGAAAAATACTTAGTTGCTTACAGTAAAAGTATAATGCAGAGATTGGGTGGTCAAAATTGATATGCACAATTCACACCTAATAAAAAAGATTGGTAGGCGTTAAAATAACTTAATTTTTGAGATTTATCTATGATTTATGGAAAATCTTTGTTTTTTAATCTTCTATGACTTGGCATTGACCAATCAGGGGTTCGGAAATCATTTTAGTAAAATTTTGTTATATTACGGGAATAAAATTGACCTAATAAAATTGTGTCAGCTGTTTAGTCCATATGTCCATATTTTTCACTACTGTACCGTTATATCACTTGATTTCGGACTTCGAAATTATTGTATATTAATGCAACTATTAATTATATTGTATAAATTGAAAATGTAGTAAATGAAAAAAAGTTTCATAATGCATCTATAAAGTTTAAAATGTTTCCAAAGTAGATCAATATTAAGAAAATACCAAAAATATTATATGCGTGAGAATAAAATTTGCGTCGCAGAATAACGAGCATTGTACTGTCCTTAGATGAAAATCTTTTTAATTTTATAAATATTTTTGAGATATTCTTATCAAAAGCCATTTGAAAGTTTTATTAAACTTCATTTATTAAAATTGCAAAATTACATTTTTCTTTCAAATAATTAAAAAAATTTAATCATATCCTTTGATGAGTCAATGAAGAATTTAATTAGAAGATATTTTAATGACGCCAATCATTTGTTTTAGTTACCACATACTGTCTCGAGAGCGTTTGTTTTCTCGAAAATGACTCAATATTTGCCTCCCAATTTATTGGCCCTTTTTGCGCCTCGTGATCCAATTCCATACTTACCACCCGTGGAAAAACATAAAAATCATCGCAAACTTCCATACACTGGTGTTGCTCAATTCTTGGGCGAGTTTGAGGTGCGTAATGTTCGCCTTACAATGTTTAGCTTTTTGTTTGTGTGGTTTAGTATTCTCGTTTTTCATTTCCAGGATCCTTCATTAACTCCTGCTCCGGCAAGAATTGAAACAAGAGAAGAAAGAAAAGCGCGGAAACGCAAGGAGAAGCAAGAGAAGGCAAATTACAAGCTTGAACGAGATTTGGCTTTGTGTATGTTTGCTTTAGTCCTTTTCATTACTTGTTTAGGGAATCCAAAGAAGCTAACTGACGGAACGGAAAATCCACACAACACACTCTTTGTGGCTCGATTGGTAATTCAATTTTTTTCATTATTTTGTTTAGAACTATGATACTACTGAACACAAGCTCCGAAGAGAGTTTGACGAATTCGGTCCAATCAAGAAGATATGCATAATTAAGGATGTTAATACTAATAAACCACGGGGATATGCCTTCATTGAATTTGAACACGAACGAGACATGCATGGTATGTTTTATTTTATCTTATGTCAATTTTAATACTCCTGCTAAAAAATTTTAATGCACCTTCTCTATTAATGCATATAAGCTCGTATGTAGTTTATCGTTTCACTTGGTTCTGTCTAGTCGTGTGCCAATCTGGACTAGGTATGGATAAGTTGACAGTTTAGTGTTTAATTGTATTCAATCGTATACTTAGTCTTATTAAGCTAAATACAATTAATGGCGATAAAGAGACATTGATATAAGATTTCTTGTCTTTCTTTATTCAGGCCGAATTACGGTGCCGGCTTGGAATCCTCTAGCCGAGTCATTAGTGAGAGAACTTTTTCAACTTTAAACTAATTTAATGGTAAGACCGGTAAGCTTTACCAGAGTGTAAGGTAGCTCTGGTAGTGATACTAACCTAGCTGTCACGTTATGCGTTGGTAAGCTATGACAAAAAGTTCAACTTTTGCCAATGGGAGTTGACAACAATATAATAGAGATTGTGAGAATGGGAGAGGTAGTTTCGGTAAGCTTTTTCCTTCCACACGTTAGGAGTGTTTTTATTCTCCCTTTTTGTTCTTTGCCTTGCTTTGCTTCTCTAAAGCCGCCAAGAAGGATATGAATGGTCGTAAAATCGATGGTCACCGAATTCTGACGGATGTTGAACGTGGGAGAACACGTGCAGACTGGAGACCAAGAAGATTAGGTACGTTTGTTTTGCCTAAGTTCTTATATTGATTAATTAATGTTTTCGTTACTGTTACTTTTTTCTGTTTCTAGGTAAGGGTCTTGGTAAGTCCCGTAGTGTCCCGAGTGACTCCAAACGGGATGATAAAAGACGAGATGACGATCGTGATCGCTATAGGGATCGTGACAGGGACCGCGATCGTTATCGTGACAGAGACAGCAGGAGACGTCGAAGTAGGTCCATAGACGATAGGCGCCGACGCAGTCGTGAGTTAATTTTCCCTTTGTGTCAAAATTTCAGAAACTTCATCTTTACAAACTCTTAGCTCTTTCCATTCGTTTAACAGGTAGTCGGGATAAGAAGAGAAGTCGTGATCGTTCGAGGGATTATAGTCGAAGAGATAGGTATCGTAAGGACGACATATCTCAATACGGTGAGTATGGCGCGGAAATCAAGGCGGAGTATAACGATTACTGAGTTGTTTTTTTGTTGATCTTACGTATGTGCGTTTATTCAGCACACCGAAAATCATGTATACTATCCCTTTTACGTCCTACTGTCTAGTTTGTTAATACACGTGTCCTTCAGGCTATTATTCTTTCCCTTTTTTTATATAATAGTAACAAATATCCTATCCATAATATTGTCTCGATATTTGTCGATTACGCTTACGCATGCCCGATTATTTATTGTTTTTTATGGACGGAAGATTTAATGTTGGGGTTTCAATTCTTTTTAGTTGTTGTAAAGTTTCTTCGAAAACCATCGAATTCATTCCTTAAATGTCTATTAGTCGTAACACTGAGCACCCTCGTTCTTCATGTAGTGCTTGGAACGTAGAAAAGGTTGGGTATGTTATCGATTGTTCTCAAACGTGCGAATTTTCTCATCTAGCTAGTGGTCCTATACTTGTTCTTGTCTGTTCTATTATGAGAAAATTGATTTACGCAATAATGGGGAAGGGGGGGATACACAATTAGTAGTCATATATTTAAGATAAGTAAATTACACCAAGTAATGAATTGATTGGAGTTAGTCAGTTATAGGCGTGCTTTGGGGCTTTCCAGTAACAGCAGGCGAGAATTACTCCGATGAGCTAAAATATAAAATGTCTTTAGTTGGATAAGCTGGAGGTTATAATATGATTTCCCTTAAGTAATAAAATTCAATCTTGAAGTCACTGGCAAAAGGTTAATTAGCCTTACTTAGAGTGGACTAGGAACTAGAACTAATATGTTGGCGCGGTAGATTTATAGAACTAAATGATGGCCGTATATGTTAACGTTGGCTAAAAGCAATCTCCTAGCGAGCTTGTTTGATCGATAGAAGACCTACGCTAGAAATAAGCAGTTCGATAAAGAATGCAACAATGTATTTGCAAGTGAACTAGAAACGAAAAGCCGTTCCAAATACTTTCTTAGCAATGAGCCAATCAAAAGATAAAAGAAAGGCGAAAGCAAATTATTAATTGAGTTAACCTATAAGATTAGGGTAAATATTACATACTCTGGCGTTCTCACCTTAGGTGTTCTATTTTGAGGTAACACACCTTGACCCCCTTGGTACAAACTTCAAGTCTGCCAGTAGAAAATCTTTTTGTCTAAATTATATCCACGAATAAAGCAAAATTTGGATTCTACCTGCTCTCTATCCAATTATAAGCTAAAATCCCAAATTTACCAAAATTTCTATATTGAATAGCTACGCTATGCAAGACATTTAATTGTAGTTAGTAAAATTGGGATAAGTCTGGAGTACAATAAGCTAGGAGAATATGTTTTTGGTAAAAGGTCACGAAGTAGCTATTGATCAGAGTTGTGTGTAATGAGTCCTGCTAGTTAACTTTGATCAATAAGAGAGATGCTTGAATGAGTATAACTTTAAGACAACAGATTTAAAAGCACCATAATGGAAAAACTTTCTTATTATGTGAAATTGAACGCTGATTTGGCAAACTGGAAAATAAATAAAGAATTTCATTCACTGACTAACCAAGACAAACGGTCAATCAAACAGGCGAAATTTTGTAAGTCAGTCAAGAAGAAACAACTTGTTTACAACTACATTTTATTCTCAAGAGCTTTTAGGCATTAGAATATGCACCCTATCTGGATTGATTTTTTGAAAGTAGCTGTGTTCTAGGAGTGAAATGGTGTTCAAATTCAACAAACGGCCGGTATTTCCACAGCCCTTTAGTAGATGACGTATCGTAGCAACATTGCCCTTGGTCCAAAATGATTAATCTTATGGACCTGCTCCAAAATGTTTCTTTTTCCATTCACAATGAGTTTTAAATCACGCTTTGCATTTTTGTTTGATTTGGGGATTTATATTAAATACTAATGTGGCTTCCCTTGTAACTAGGCGAGAGGTTAGTTATAAATGCTTCTTTGTCGATGTTTACCTTGCCTCACTTCTAAAAGACCAAGTTATCCACTTAGTAGTACTTGACAAGATGGGCCACACAACTGAACGCACTTTTAAATTGATCAGGTAGTGCGTGAATGAATTTGTTAACAAGACGTTGCATAAATGGGAACTAGACTACGTTTAAACTTTCCAATTACAACTTGAAATAGCAATGCAAAAGAGATGTAATGATTAACCAACAACAATTTAGTAACTTATTCAACAAAACATTAACTATCACTTGTGAATTGCACAAAAAATTTAATGTGAGCTCGAACAATCTGGTACTTGGCACATGGGGAGCAAATGCGGTCGTGAGTTCAGCGACCTCTCAACCAACCAGCAGCCATTAGTCGCTGTATGGTTAGCGTGGCCATAATCGTATTTCAATGATTGAGGTTGGGGGGGGGGGGGGGGGTGTGCGATAGACTAACCTCCACGTGGTGCACCCTGGGCAACGTATACTCATACGACAAAAGAGTCTATTAACCGGCAGTTGACTTCTGAGTTTAAGCTATCATGACCCCACTGTATATAATATTCGACCACTTTCACAGTATTCACCTCACCTTTCATCTACCTTGTGTCTGTCTCTTTTACATCTTTAAAACACTCTTCTGAACCCCCCCCCCTCTCGACTATTTTCGCTTTGATGTTCCTCTCCCTCTGTGAAGCCTGGAGTCAACTAAAGGGCTAATGATAACTATCAAAACGTCTGCCATTTGATGCAAATTAAATAAATGATTGATGTTGTTGCCAGGACCACATAAGCTGAAATAGACGCTATTCACTCCAAGACCTCTTTATCCTCGATACTGTTGAGGCATCTTAGCTCATTTCAGGAGTTATTTTACATCCAGGGATTTGGCCCTGAAGCATTGTTGAGGCTTATTTGCGTAGCAGCTGCTACAGGCCAAGTCCAAAGATTGAAATATTAAATTTCGGTCTGAAATGGCAAAACATAGCACTTCTTGAACCACGCCTTATTAATCAAAACTATTTATAAAAAAGCACAAATTAATATATTTTTGTAACCAGTAGACTTCACTACGTCGATAATTTACTTGTAACTAATTTTAATTGGCAAAAACTGTACGAATGTTGATTAGTCATTTCAACTTTTGTGCATTTTGACGGAATGTGGGTAAATTCAGCAAACACTTTGTTTCTTTTAGTAGTAAAAGTTGCTTTTAACACTGAAGCTATTTCCGATAGCTGCCCTTCCAAATGGATAAACATTTGCTTCCGTTGCCAATAGGTACTAGAAGTCAAATTTCACCTACAAAATCGTGTGTGAAATAAATTGTTTATTTGAAGGATAACTCCTGAGTGATATATTTTCTAAACCATTTCACTTTCCACGGAAGGCCTTTCAAAATATACTTGAATATGTCAGTTCGGATGAAGCACAGAATTGGCGTCTCTACTCATTCTTCTTAAATTTCGTATGTTCACTTCTTTTTTCTAAGAACTACGTTTAAAGAGATTTGGGAGGTACGAATGAATGAAAGTCTTTGAAAATAAAAAAATCCACCAAGGACGATTTTCAGCAAACATCGGTTGTTCTGTTCCCAAACCGAAGGTGGGATCTTTAGGACAAAGGTGCGTAAATCAGATCACGAAAAAATTTTTTCTCTCAAAACGATGATTGACACATTTCACCTTCTTCACCTCTCAGCGTGTGTTAAATAAAAAAGATTCTCTATGTGACTTGGTCAAATTAACTAAATGAATCAACTTTTCTGTGAAATAGTATGATGAACTTTTTCTCTTTGGCAGCATTGGGGACAGAGCTCATTTTAATTAGTGAGATTCCTTCTCCCAAAATTCCAAGCTTTTCGCAGACTTCTGAGTGACATTTGGCTGAACCACTGTACATGGAAACGTTTCATAATAAAAGATCTTTAGCGCAATAAATGGCTTCGCATAATTATAAATGGGTTATATATATATATATATATATATGCTTTAACTTTCGCGAATAAAATAACTCGAATGAGATTAATTATACCACGCCGTCAAAAAGGCTCGAACGTTTTAAAAACCAAAGTAGTAAGATTAAGTTCAAGGTGACACTTACTTCGATAATCGCCAATCCGAAAAGTAAAACGCAAATAATGAACAAAGTTGAATTCAATTCCTCTGTTATCTTGGAAATACAGCCCTAAAATTAGGAAAACGAACACGATCACATAGATTCCAACTTCGCAATTTCGACCTGAAAATTGTGTTAACTGGTTATCAATTAAGTCCATTCTCCATTTCTCTCCATCAATAAAACTTTATCCTCTCTGTTTGACTGCCTAATATCCATGTTTATCGTCTGATTGGGAGGTAATTAGATACAAATAACAATCTAACAAACGGACAAAACATTTAAATGGAGACAAAGGTGATGATTTAAAGTATCTGGAACTGTCACTTATTTGGCAGAGTTACCTTATCAGAGCTCCAGATTTTTATTTAGTTGTATAGGGATCTCACGCCTCCTAAACAATTTTTCCCATGTGGAAGGAAATAACAAATAGAATTTCTCACTGATGTCCAGAATAAACAGAATTATGGGTTCCAGCGTTTTGTACCCAAGCTTTGACACAACCTTACTTTTAAAATGTTGCTCTTATTGAACTTGAGTCCTAATCTTCGGTTTAGAAGATTGGTTGGATTAATATGATTAAGGTAGAAAAGTAAGCAAATTAGAGCAATATGAGGATACACTGGTAGATCTGTCGAGCGAATTCAATGGTGATCACCTACCTAGTATGAGCTCGGATCCTATTTAGTGGATCAACGAAATTTCTCCATTTATATTTTAATCGCCTTCATGAGTAGGCTGTAGCTGAATGCGAGAAGACAAACTGAGGACAAGCAGTTTGATTAATCAATAAAACGATTTTAAATAAAATGATAGATAGTGAATGAGTTAATCTGAGCTTTGATAACCATGAAACAAGCTAATTAAGCAAACGAAATGAAAATATGAAATTAGTCACCAATATTTATACATTTAATTCAAAAGGCTCTAGAGCGCGCACACACGAAATTTGATATGCAAGACTATTACCACTTGCTAGAAAGTGAGAACAAATGAGGAATATTTTTGGAAAATTGAGTAGCAGATTGATTCAGATTCTATGATTCGTTCCTCTCAGAATATAATCCAAAATTATTTATTTCAAAGAAACTAAACCCGAATTACCTTGAAGATTAAACAATACTTAGTCAGATCTTCGAATGGCTTCAAATCAAGTCGAGCCATTTAGAAGGCCTATTCATAAAATATAGAAAGTAGAAATAAAGAAATTTAATATTTGACTTCAACAGGGTACTGAAAATCAATGAATACTATGTTAAATACAGTATGTTGAATCAAAAATTACTTGAAATCAATATGTTTATAACAGGAAAAATAATAAACATCATTCCATTTACAAATTGAATCCAGAATCAGTTAGAAAGAAGCAAAGTAAAATCATCTTACCTTGTAGTAAATATTTGAAGGATGAGTAAGTTTCCCGCATTCTGGATAAAATCCAATACAACAAGAGTTGGGAACAATTGAAGGCTTACTGGAGTTCTCCCTAGTTACCAATTTAGAATTATTTTCGAATCCGGACCATTGCCAATCATGATAATTCCGGGAACCACAGCATTTGTACTGCTTTTGGAGCTCATCAACCGCCCGAGTGACATCGTTATCTTGCAAGTGATATTCGTTTTTCATTATGTTAGAGAGTGCTTCGGCATTCCATTGCATTCCAAAATGGTAATAAAGTAAGGCTGCAGTAGCAACACAGAGATGTAATATGAGCGCGATGGCCAAGACAATGGCATACTAACAATATATCAATATATATTATGAATTTTCGACAAACCAGTTTCAACATTGGTGGACTATTCTTTGATATTGCGACGAATCCAAAAATACAAACAAGAACAAGCAATATGCCAAGACCAATGAAGAGATAAGTATTTATATAAACCGTTTCTCCCATTAAAACAGGAAGTAATGGATTTCTTATGATCGAAAAATAAATGCCGAGTCCAATGAAAGCAAGGGCAATTGCCTAAACATAAATTATTAATATCTGCTTACCATTATGATGAGTGTAAAGAAAATTAAAAACGTCTTTATCCAGCTTGGAGTCAAAGAACAGCATGAAGACTTGTTTTTAACATCGGAATCTTGGTTATTTTCAGCTAAAAGGCGATCACGTTGTGTCCCATTTTCATGTCTGTCCATTTCGGATGTTAAGATATTTAAAACTTCCACTGTTGAATAGACCTTGAAAAGCAGAGTAAGATAACACACATTGAAAAGCAGGCTTATTACATTTAAAAATAAACACTATTGCTTGTTTGTCTACCATTTATCAACAAAAAAACTACTTTTGTCCAATAAAATTTAGATTTTAATCAGGAAAACGCTGCCTAATGGTTTTTGGTTTGTTTAAAAACACAGGATAAGCTTAAGACTACTACTTTTGACACATATCCAGATTTTATTCTGTTATTTAGCTTATTATAATGAGATCCGTTCTCTATTAATTAATAATTTTAGCAGAATACTTTGGTTGATGGATAAAATTTATATTACCTCATCATCTTTAATGTATGAAAATTCAGTTGTGGCTGTTTTGGTTAAATTAAAAATTAGTAATAGAAATACATATAAATGAACTATTACAAACCATAAAACCTGTCACGGAGCTTTAATAAATCTATTAGGCTCAGAAGGCAAGTCTATTGAAAATCGTCCTACTCCATATTAAGTCGATGGAGTACACTCGGCTTCTTTAACATACGGTATTGATCCCCTATTAGAGCATTAAGGAGAGCAAATAATCCTTCACTTTTGTTTTCAATTGGTAACTAACAATCTGAGAAGCTCTAAATCGGATTTGTAAATAATAGTACTTCTATCACAACAATTATTAGCATATATTATCAAGTATTGAAAAACTTTATAAACGTTATCGTGTATTCTTAATAAAGAACTAATATTCGAATGAATGAAAGGCCCTTAAATTCACTTGTCATCGTCCAAACACGAAGCGATGTGGTATGTAGGAAAATAGAAATTATAAAAAGCTACTAACATCTTGAGGCGGTTCGAAAATGGCTAGAAAACGCAACTCAACTTATTACTAAACAAGTTTTGGTAACCAAGGTGTCAATTGTTTTCGGTCCTGTCTTTTAAGAGGTGATAAGTGGCAGTTTTAAGGTAAGTGAACGTGATGGAATCTTAACGGAAAGTGAAAAGACATGTGGAATATTTAGAAAATCTATATACAGAGTAGGAAACTAACTTCTTTCTAAATATTAGGGTAAAACCTTCCATTAAATAGTAATATTTAGCTGTTAAGCGATAGATCAATGCGAACTCAAGGCTGCCTTCCCGTGTCAGAATCGTCTCTACAAGCTTTTATTGTGCACACATGCACGTCGAATTCAACACAAAATGACCTTATAAATAAAAATCAATGAATTAAAGTTCATAATGGAGTAATATCGTGTATACTATAACATATCTATGTAATTCCCACGCAAAACAAATCACCAGAGTCTAAATAACTATATTTCAAATTAAATATCGTTTTGACTGAAATCAGTTTATCAATATCCTATTCACCCTCACTATATACATTTTATAATCTGCTACCTCTAAAGCTACTTCCGTTTCCATTAAGAATGTTTTTATAAACTTTTTGTTTATTAATCAAGCACGTTTATCGCCAATTATTAGACCATTACTTATTCGACGTTACAGATATGCGTGTATTCATATTTAATCAAGATTTTGTAACAATTATTTAAAAAGAACACATAATCAAGTTTGCTACAAAATCAATGAGCTCCAATTTATTATGAGAATGGTTGTTATAATTTTATGGTAAGGTGTTCATTCTAACGAATTTCAATAATTTGAAGGAGACACCGGGTAACTTGAAATAACCAATTGTTGTGTCATTGGTCCGAAGTCGACTAACCATATGGTTACTGTAAATTATTAGTCGTATTTTATGGAAGGCCTTATTGAGATTTTTCAAACCCGCGACTTTTACATTTTTGTCAAGAAGCCATGTATATTGTATGTTAGCCGAGTGGATGGCAAAATAACTATTAAGCCATGTATGTCTTATTCACTTAATTCTTTCTACAATTTTGTCCTTTTATTTTTAATGTAATTTATCTTATATATTTTAAATAATTTCTTATAGTTAATTTACTTTTACATATTAGCATCAATACCGTCATGATTAACTTTTATTTTAATTTCAATGTGATGAAATATATATATTCTTCTAAGGATAATGCAGCTTTTTAATAAATTGTTTTACGGATTTCGAAATAATCGTCGTATAGAAATTGGGTTAAATTTCCTAGCAAACATAATCTATTGTTTCTTTTCCGGTATTGATGAAATCTTAGTATAATCTCCTGCCGCTCTAATCCTTATTTTTAACTTTGACACGTTTTAAATGTTGAATTATTGTTTATTATATTGATTTCTAATTTTGAATTTAGTTTCAAAGTTTTGTGAGCTTGGCGATGCTGTTGGACTGGGGTCAGTTGAAGGCATTCTGGGAAAATTTCAGTGTTCTTCTAGTAAGTTTTTTCTCTTTTCCATCTCTTAATGTCCATTTAATTATTGTAATTATATTTAATTTTAATTATTATTTTTAAGACACGTCATAAATTATTACCAACCATTGGCCCAAATTATTATCGCAATTATTTCCCCTGATTTTTCATCTAAAATATCCCTTGCTTTCTAGAAGCTTTATTTTTTCACTACGAATGTCATATTTTAATTTCTAAATTGAGTTATTTAATCGGAAACCCAAATTTTAGGTTAATTTCTTGTTATGAGCAACCTCGTTTTTATTCTGTCAAATTGCTCCCTGAATTTGATGGAACTTTAGTTGGTTGAATCATCGTAAACTTATAGTCATCATCCGAATTCATTTTGTTAACGTTTTGATAGAAACCTATATAATTATGCGCCCTTTTGTTTTGTCTTTAAATAGGTGATGATTCTTACCTCCTCTTATTGAATAGAAGCGATTTTATTTGCTATCTCCATGATGGCATTGAAGTACGACGAATTTCGAAAATTACCTTGATGCCTATCTCTAGTTCTTCTCTCCCGAAGACTTTCCAAATTAACGTAAGTTGTATTAGTGTAGCTATTTTCATAACGCAAGTCAATTTCAACTTCAACATCGCTGCCACTTTCTAAATAAGCTTAATGTACGCTGCTTTTGTGCTGGATTACGCTACCACTGCTTCTTCGAATGCTGTGAAACGCCGATGGAATATAAACGCGACGTTGTTAAATACATTTTTAACGCTCAATAAGCATATTTTAAGCCGTAAAAGATAATTCTCAACATAAAACAAGCTTGTTTAATATTGCGGATTAAGGACGGACTTACAGCCCACTTTTCTATTGGTTGGTATTAGATATTTTTTTCCGTCATTGTTGGAAGACAAAACAAGTTAATGATGCTATGTGATTGTTTTCAAACAAACTATGAATTTCAGCCTATTCTATACAATTCACTTTGGAGGGTATCACAGCCAAATCAACTTCATAGCGTTCTCTGATTTATTCCAAGTTGTTTTTCTTCTTATGGACTTTGAAGTAACATAGACTCGGTTTTATAATTTTTTACCTCAGCTGAACACTATTATTCGTATATCTTTGGATGTAATTTTATTGAGATTACGTTGTTTTTTTTTCGTATTTCTACATAAGATTAATTTCAATCAAATCAGAGGGGAGTCATTGTCGTGACCACTATCGTTTTACTTTTTCTTTTTAATCAAATCACCAAGCCATTGGTCCTATTGGCTATTAGAATAATTTCCTGAAGGTGGACCATGACTGTCAATCTAATTTGTTACTATTTTTTTCAAAATTAACCTAACTATGTTCCCCCTTTTCTATTGTTTCAGAAGGGTCCACAAAATAATACTCAGGCATTAAGCACCCAAGATCGACCCCAATCGGCTAAGCAACAAGCCCTCGTTCAAGCAGTTCAAAATACCTTCAAGGCGGCCTCTGGTATGATTAATTTCAAGCAAGTTAGTCTCTCTCTCTCTCCCTTTGAGGGATTTTTTTCCTTTGGAAAGTCGTAGTAATATCTCGTTTTGTGTTTATTTTTCAGAAGCCCAAAGGAATTGGTAAGCGCTTTGAAAATCGGATCTTGGAGGTGAGTAATGTCTTTTAGAATGAACATTTAATCCAAGAATAAAATTGTTATAAACAATCTGACAGCAGTTAGCTGGCGTTATCCCATTACGAAAACGTTAATTTTCAAGGCTAGAGGGACATGAAAACTTGAGTAGTAGACAATCAGATAAGGGTGAGGATGGAGATAGAGGAGTAGACGGTGGGAAAAAGGTGGATTATACATAAAAAACTAATCAGTGAATGTGTTTAGAGGCGTTGTCTGATCTTGGTCACTTTTTGAGGCATTTTCGCTGCTTAGGATGAGTATATTTTAACTTCATCATCTGTGCACTTCACATAATTGAGCTAATTGCTGTTTTTCACTTAATTTGGCTGAAGGAATTGGAGAAGTTGTTTGAAGGAGAGGCGGATCAATTCTATTACGCGAAAGGTGGGGCCGATTTGACCCTTTGGACGCAACGACGTGAGGCTCGTCGAATGCGTGGTGAGTTCTGCAGTTGGGAGGACTTGAAAACCTTTTCACGTACCTACTGGCGTCCAATTTGGTGTCGATACGATGACTGCTTCGTTTGGAATCACCTTATTCTTCAAGATCTAATTTCTCCGGCTTTGGAATTCCTAATTAACTCAGAGGGGCTCCCAAGCTCCATAACGGAGCCTAAGCCACCTTCTCCCACTTATGTGGATGAATTTGAGAAGAAAGAAGTGGAGGAATCTACGATTCATGATAACAAACCCATTATAGATGGGATTGGTGAACGGGCTCAGCTCACAGATTGTCTATGTGCTCTGGAATCAATGCTTATTCCGGTGATTAGTGGATTTGTTAAACAGGATAAGCTTACTCTACCCATTTGGGATGTAGACGGTCGAATAACTTCAGAGGAACCTGATACCGTTACTCTCACTATTATTTCGCGAAGAAGTCAGTACAGAGCTGGTATGTTTCTGCATTATATAATTCTTAATTCGTTATTAATTTACTCGAATTTACAGTTGGTCGTATTTGCAACCATATAAACTCACTTATTTACTTGGATAGAGAGGAGTAATAATATAGTGTCTATGGACTTTGAAATTCAGTTCAGATTTGATGATGCTTCGAAGTCTCCTAACTGGATGAATTTGTTGACATTTCCAGCTATTTTCCTCGAAGTTGGATATGATTTTCATCAAAAGCTCCTCGAAGTCAGTTCAACAACAAGCATTATTAAGCCATGATAAATGTTGCCACTCTGACTGATGATGGTGATGAGTTAACTATCGATATACTGACAAATATTGGAATAGGGTGTTTTAAGGTCATTACATTTGGAGTATCATTAATACCAGTACACTTTGATGCTACATTTTTTTAAATCGCCACCTTCCTGGAGAGAGTGGGATTAATTTTATGAAGCTCCTCAGCCATCATAGACTGGTCTCCTGTTTTACTTAATTTTGGCCCATCTACCATGTTGTGTGAACATTTTTTTAAATTCTTACCGATACCTGTCATTCTCTAGAGATGTAGCCGGATTATTGAAAGTGGAGCTATTTTTTTTGAAGTTAAGTACGAATTGTTTATTCTTCAGTGCGTTGGCGTTGGAAGGGGAACTATACTACTATAATAAAACTTTTATCTGAACAGTTTTCATTTAATAAATACATTCTTACCCCCCCCCCCCCCCTACAGGTTGCAGATATCGCCGACGAGGCATTGACGAAAATGGACACGTAGCAAACTATGTTGAAACGGAGCAGGTCCTTGAGGTGCCAAGCGATTTTAATACTCATGTTCTCTCCTTCCTTCAAATTCGTGGTTCTGTGCCTGTCTTTTGGACTCAAACTGGAATTAAATACAAACCACCTATTCAATTGCATAGAAGTAAGTTCAAGGCAATTCAACACTGCTCATTTATTAATTAATACTTGTTCATTCATTTCATATTGAAAAAAATTAATATCCAATCAAACGTCAGTGCACATCTGCCAAGAAATTTCTTAATCTCGATTGATAGCTTCAACTGGTTTAAATCTGCCAAAGCTTTCATAATTGGACTTCATTATGAGCTTCCACAGGGAAGATTTTTGTGTCAAATATCAAAATGTGCTATTTTATAATTTTGTTTACTTAACTGCCCATTTTATGGCTAAAGTATCAATGCCAATCTGCCTTCGCTCTTTTCTCTTAAGTTACTACAAGACTGCTATTTCTATCTCTCACACATAATTAGCATTCGGATATACTCGAGGCTTCTTCGTGTAAATAAACATCACTAGGATCCACTTCTCTAGTGTTTACTCTAATGCTGCAGTTTTGCCGTGATTTATATTTCACTAAAAGAATCTAACCCTGCCCCCCCCTCCCTTTGGGGTTTTTTTTATTTTTTTCATCAATGCTATTATTCCTGACTTTATTAATTTAATTCAATTATATTGACGCCTACTTGTTCTCAGTTACTTTTGATTTCTTCTAAAGCGAGTAGGCTGGGCCTGTATTGAGTATTTAAGTTGATGAGCGAGGTTTGTAGACTTCAATAGATTGCTAAAATTGTTGTCCTTCTGTAGTTTAAATGATTATAATGAGGGGGGGGGGTTAAGAATGGCCGAGTTTTGATTAATGCGCTGTTGTTCTTAAAAGTATTTGTGGTTCGATACATTTGAAGTCGCTGTTTGTGTGCGTGTGTGTGAGTGCTTGTGGTACTATTGATTTCCATAATACATTTTTTTGCATAATTCGGTATTTCACAGTCTAAGTCCTATTGGTTTTACATGAGAAGTTTTCGTGTGGCTTTAACCACCGAATCTTAAAATCGGGCCCATGTTTTTACTACCTTTACTTGGTACTTTGATGACCCCTCATTTATTGGTTTCATTCAGGGAGGAGTGAATACTTTCTCAGTGCTTATATTTCGTTTGTCATATTCTTTAATCGAATCGGTCAGCGGTACCATTTTTGTAAGGTTCTCTTGGGCTAGTTTATTGTTGAGAAGTTGTATTGTGTTTTTTTTTTGGTGCAGGAAAGTCTTATAACAGATTAGATGATAGGGTGCTTCAATAATGGGTTAAGCAGTCGTTGCTTTGTATGCCATACTAATCATTCAAGTATATCATATTTTAGACACTTAAACTTAACCCCGATGGGTAGGGTAAAAAGGCAAATTCAGTTGTGTAGAAGCATGCCAGGGCGTTCAACTTGATCCTATTAGCCTTAAATCTCATTTTTTCATTAGATTAAATTATTAACCCATTTGGGAGTTGACTATTATGGTTTCTTTAATTTTTTTAATGAAAAATATTCACTTTATTGCCGTCTTCAGAGAATAGCCCCAATCTAAGAAATCAACTGCGAATATCTTCAACGGGGGGGGGGTATCTTGCAACAAAAAGTAGCAATTTAAAATGTACATAAAAAGAATTCTTTATTCTTTCAGAATGAGAAGTATTCATTTATTTAATAATCTCCCTCTCTCTCTCTGAAGTCGTTGGTAGTATTAATGGAGGCGGTAGCTGCTCATTTTCTTTTAATCTAATAGATTGAACGTCTTTGGTCCATTTTTAACTAGTCTGTCTATCTGTCTCCTTCTTGTGTGTGAAGTAGAGTGGATGACAATAAAGCCAAATTACTCAGACCAGAACTTATCGCATTATGTTTTGCTTGATGTTACTGATGAATTTCACCAATGTACTCTACTTTATTTTTCTAAGTTCACTAGGTCATAGTAGTTGATATGCATGACGGATTTGTCTTAATTGCAACAGGTATTCTAAAATGAACATAGATTTAAGGAAATAAGTAGTATTGACCTGCATTCCTAACTTTTTACTCAAACTCCCCTAGACAGTCTGCTTTCTCCATTTCCCTTTCGTAGGTTTTGAATCCTGTCAAATCTTATCTCGTTTCGTGTTTTGAAGCCCCCTTCATTCGATGGGACAAATAAACTGCTTACGCAACTGTGTTGTCTCCCATTTACAGGTCTATCAGAAAATCGAGATGCCTTTCGCCTACATATTGAGCGTTCATTGAGCAAGTTTGACCGCCTGACTGTGGTGAATCTCGTGGAGACAACACCAGGACGACAAGAGAGCAAAATCACAGAGGCCTACATTAGGCAACTCCTTCTACTGAACAACCCCAAGGTCACATATGTTGGCTTTGATTTTCATGAGTACTGGTGAGTCCAATTTCATTTGATTGTATCGTTCATCTCCTCATATGTTTGAGTGTGCTAAGGTAGTGGGTGTGGACCATCTAGTAGAGTCTTGCTCAGAAATAGGCTTCCAAACTCAGTACGTCGGTTATTATCCCTGAGTGGACTTATGTAGTCTTTTTCCTTCCTCTATTTCGGGTACATTTGGTGCACATAGCCAAGCGACACTGGAGGGTACCTCTAGTCACCTCCCAAAAAGCCACCACGCCAGTGCCTTTGTTAAAATAGTCTTTGGAATGCACATATCCTACACGTTAAATCAGTGCCTTTATTCTTCTTCTTCTTTGCCATTTTAGCAAAGGTCTCCGTTTCGATAATGTCGCTGTTCTTTTGGATGGTGTTAAGGAAAATATTCGTGACATGAAGTATTGTTGGTACGTTTAGGGCGCATACCTCCCTCGGTTCCAATTCGCATTCTCATTTATTCAACTTCTTCTTGCTTTCTCTCTCTCTCTCTCTTGTAGGCTTCACAAAGACTACTTTATGTGCAAACAGGAGGGTGTTTTTCGAGTGAATTGTGTCGACTGCTTGGATAGAACTAATCTTGTGCAAAGTGTGTTTGCCACCGTAGTACTTGAATCACAAGTGAGTCTTATTTTATATCTTATCTCGTATTATGAAGTGTGCACTTTTACTCTTTATTATTACGCCATTAAGTTACAGGTTATGTGCATGGCTCCGACTCATTAGGGTCGTTCATTATTGGTGTTTAAGAGTTGACTTTAGGCTGGAGCATTTTTTTTTCTACCTAATTTCTTTCATTGTGTGCGTGTCGAATTAATTTGTCTAGTTGAGTAGTAGAAAAAGAGTTTTTTTCCTGGTTCCCCTATTTCGTATCAGCAACTGTTTTTGCCACCGAATAGGCGTAATTAATTGGGTCTTAAATGTGTTTTCATCTTTCTCCTCCACTTGTTTAAATGGTAGACTTAATTAAATTCTGTTTAAAAATTCATGAAAGTGGCTTATTCTCTTCGGGAATCTGAGATTCACCTCACAAAGCTTTTATCTGAGTCGTATTTCAATTTGAAGAAATTCACCTTTCAGTAATGGCCCTGGTAAGAAAGAAATTTCTATCTTCACCTGAGTAGACACGTGAGATCTTAATTACATGCCTCGTACGTTAAGAGCACAGCACAAAACCCTAGGGCATTCTCTTTTCTTACTGCAGTTCTTTCTGCGTAAGTGAGCGAGCAGGGATGGTGAATTGGAACACCTTCCTTTACTGGTTTTGAATGAGCGCGATGGCCAAGCTAAATACCACGGGTTCGACTCTTATTGGTTGTTGATGCCTTGTAAATGGCGCGATTAATCATACTAGATGTCACTCCTCAGGCCTAGTAGATGGGTGTTGGGAAATGCTTTCCATTAATTACTTATATCATTCATTTATATCAAATGGCAGGCTTTATAGTAGTTATCATTAGCCCTTTAGTTGACTTCGGGTTTCATAGAGGGGGAACAGAAGAGTGATTCACAGGTGTAAAAGAGACAGACTGGCACAAAGGCAGAGAAAAGTTAAGATGAGTACTGTGGAAGTGGTGGAATATGACATACGGTCGGGTCATGGTAGTTTGAAGTCAACTATCAGTTTATAGACTTTTTTGGTCGTATGAGTATACATTGCCCAGGGTGCACCACGTGGTGCCTTTAATTATCATTTTATGAATAGTAAAGTTGAGTAACTGCCATTGCTCTCCATTATTTGTGTACCTGAACTTGTGTGAGATTCATTTTATCTATATTTGATATATGGTAGTCATTTTACTTCAAGATAACTAAAATTAACAATTTATCTCTGCCTATGCATTAACTTTACATATTTTTTGTTAACATGTGCTAAATTTTCACGTTTGCTGTCATGCGCAACTTTGGAGGTTATTTGCGGGGTTGAGAGGCTTGCTTAGTGTATGACAAATGTTATTGCTAGAGTAACGTGATACTCTTGATAATTAACATAAATAAGGAGGAAGCATCAGATGAACCAATAATTTTTTTCCTTTTCTGATTGCCCTCATTTTTTGGCACTTGCTTATAATTTGTTTTTTTTTAATGTTCTTTCTTATTCTCCAGTTGCGAAAGCTAGGTCGTCTTCCACCTGAAGTGGAGTTGCCTATGCCATTAGCTCGTGCTGTTCAGGCTGTTTGGGCTGACAATGGGGACGCTCTTTCAAGACATTACACCGGCACAGCTGCAATGAAAGTGAGTATCCATTTATAATCCCACCTGTAGTCGAGGTGTATCTCAAGAGAACCCTGTAGCTAACCATTCTGACTTATTATATATCTCAGCATTTAGCAAAGAGGCTCTTTCTCAGCAATTATCAAAGTAGAAGAAGGGAGTCTTGCAAAGGTTCTGCTTTACCGATCGTGTTCCCAAATTGAGATGAAGGGTGGCAGAGATCGATTCAAGAGTATTTATATATAGTGGAAATAGCAGAGCAAAGTCAAATGTGTAGGCTTTCGATTATATGGAGCGTTCAGTTGTGGACCGGAAGAAGAGTCATGCGTAGAGCACAGTTCAGGGAGTAGAAGGTTGGGTTCAATCCGTAACAATGATTTGATATGATTATTGTAAAACCGTGTAACGACATGCCCACTTACTATAAGTAATCTAAGGTTAACACAACATGGAGAAGGATTTCAGTAACCAGACTTTATGAGACATAGATCGCCGAAAATATGCGATGATCTTTTTGAAGGAAAAATTGCCAATGTTAGCGTTGCTATGATTTTTTGGTTTTAGGGTGACTATACACGAACTGGTTCTCGTACGGTCAATGGTCTAATGAAGGATGGAGTCTCTTCAATGAGCAGGTTATTTTTTCCCTATTAATGAGTTCTTTGTATTGTGTATATTGTTTACTTAATCGAGTTAATTAGGCCCAATCGGAGACTTATTTTCCTAAGGTCATTTTTGGAATTAAATTTCATGCTCAATCTTCTCTGTCTCCTTGTTTTTTTCGCCATTGCACAGCCAGTTGTTTTAAAAATTTTGGGGAATAAACGAGGTATCTATGCCTTTTTCTGGGTTTTAAATCGACCTCCTCCCCCCTTTAGGCCAACCGTTATCTGTCCCAATTGTTGCCGTAACTGGGTTGATAAAATATCACTTTTTAGTCACGTTAACTCTCTGCTTTTACGTTCCTACTCCATGTGACAATTCAATTATGGCGAACCTTGAATGAGGTTTTCTGTATGCTTTCATGCAGCTGTGTGGTGTCAGTTTGTACTTTCTTTTTACACTTTTAACTGAGTGCTGATGTGTAACTGCCTGCCATTTTGAAGCTCCTAGACCTCAGTGGTGCTAAAGTAACGAGACCGCTAATGTAACATATATGTTGTCAGAATAGAGAATTTTTTCATTAATAATAAGCATTTGAATACTTCAGTAGCCACTTGACCATATTTTACTACTTCGATCTGAGCAGTAATCGTCCAATTAATTTAATATGCCTTAATTTAGTTATTACTAAAATCTCCCCCCCCCGGTCTTTCTTAAAAATTGGTTCTGGAATTTTTTTGAGATAATATTTGAGCTCTTGTTGAAATAAGCCAATCCCAGCTCAGTTGCTGAAATTTTTTAGTGAATAGTAGAAAGTATGCTTTTGAAGTTAAATTAAAGGGTAAATGTAAACAAAGCAAGCCAAGACTTGACATAATCTTGATTCTTTCGGTTTTATTCTCAGGGCTTCTTCGGTTGGAGTTATTTGATTTCATAAAATTTGCAGTTGGACCTCATTGCAGGGTTCCTAAGGGATAATTAAATTTGCCCTAATTCCAAATTCGTGTATTTCCTTATATCACCGCCTACATCACAAACCCTTTTCTAAAGTATTTGACAGACTGCAACAGGAAGATTGCTTAACTTTATATATGTATAGAGAGAGATTGAACTTTAGCTCAGTAGATGCCAGAGTTCGAAATGAGCTGGTGCAAGACCCGAAGAGGCAGAATAGGCAGCGGAATATGCTATTCGAGAAGAGCAGAAATTGGTTCGTTTGGTGTAGTGGAGTTCAATGAGGCGATGTTGTTTGAATCTAAAAGGCTGGGAATAAATGGGATGAAGCCAGCAAACTGATTGAAATCGATTATTAAACTACAATGACAGATGACGTAGATTTGGAGATGTATTTAAGATCCACAGCTTAGGGATATGTCATGAAATAAACCTACCCTCAACTTATCAATGATGCGTATTTACCACTTAGAGTTTTGATCGATATCTCGAAATGCTTTCACAACTAGGGTCGCTTGGGGTGGGGGGTGGGAGATTGTTATTTCAAATTGTTTAATACACAGGAAACTCACAAGTGCGTACATTATACATGCTTGTTGCTGAGTACACATTTCCACAGACCTGCACTTTTTGCCCCCTGTCCTCATGTTGAAGTCGGAGATTTGCTTGTTTACATTAATTAATTGGTTGTCCGAGTTTTACCGGTTAAATTTAAAGATGGGTTTAATAGGTATTTCTTCATTTCTAAGGTTAATTGACAACGAAGCACAAAATTTGATTTGTTGGTGGGCATTCTTTTATCAAATCACTCTCAGAATCAATTTTGTTGCTAGTATAGGAAGAGGTCTTAAGTTTCACCTCACAATGTTTTGGCATTCTTTAATTTGATCTGAGTGCAATTTTGGGTTATTTTTTCATAATCTCGGTACTTTAGCAGATCACTTTCATATTTCATTGTGTTTATAGTGGAATTAGCGTATTCTTTATATTTAAAGATTTGGGTATTTTTTTTCTAATGAATTTGGGGAGTCTTAGCTTTATGTTTTCGAATGGACTAAAACGAGCACTCTTGGGAGATATCTAAATACTTAATTTTAAGTTTGAAGTTTTTTTAATCTTCTCTTCCACTGTCTCAATTTTCACGAACTAGTCGCGTTGTCTCAACGGCTTTAAGGACAATTGTATCGTTAATAATAGCTTAAGGTGGTTTTTGGTACCAGTAAAGAGCTCCAAATTTACCTCCTTATTCTATGCATCATGTCTTCATACTCACAATTCATCTACCAGGACTTTGAATGAGTTAATTTCGGCATTATTTAGAGTCTTCTAAACTAGAGAAGCCCGTCAATACTACTTAAGGTACATTAGGAGTACAAAAATCAAGTGAAATGTTGAGCCCATTGTTTCTTTAACTCCTAATTATTACTAGTTGAGGTAATTTAATAAGATGCATCTCAATTGACCTTAGTAGAGATGAAACCCCGCAAATACTGAAATAGCAATGAATCGCATTGAGAGGTGGGAATGCAATTTGTGGATTATATGCTTCTTCCTCCAAGCGCATGGGATATAGCAACTTAGCAGTAAACACTTGGGAAAGTCCACTGTATTTAAGAACTGCATTGGGTAAATTGATTGGTACTAGTATGTAATACATTCCTTGAAAAGCTTTAGTTAGTGAAATTTATCCAATCTTAGGTATACAGGTTTACAAGGGAATCAAATCAACATGATTTACCATTTTAACTAAATACACTCGTCAATGAGCTCTGAATACTAGCGGCGAATTCGTTAATGTAAATGTACATGTGAAGAGTGTGGATATTACAGTGCGAATCACAATCTTTTTAAGAGTCTGGACAACTTATTTCTTTTTGAATTCCTGACTTCCTTTTGGGTCTCAGCTAGCGTCTTTGCTACTCCTCATTTTCCTATAGTATTGCAAGGTTTAAAACATCTAAATATCTTTTACCTCATCATCAGCACAAATAAAGGCGAATGTTTACTAATTCAGGTCATGCAATCGATATTCCATTGGAATGTGCATCTGCTGATCCGAATTTCTAATAGCATTTATCAGCAGCAGATTGGCTTGCTGCCATTTACTTGTCTGGAGGGTTTCGAAATGTTTTCACCCTAAGATAAATGCCAAAGTTCACTCTTTTTATCAAATCTACCATATATTCAAAAAATGGTGAATATTTATGAGGTTGAAAAAAAATGCATGAAATGGAACAAACCCCTCTGTTCTCGCTTATCCTTCCCTGCTTGACGTCAAGTTAATATTATCTAGCTTGAGATTACTCTCTCCCCCTCTCCAGTGTTTCACAATATGCCGTCACGGCTTCACTTATCAAGCCCTATCAATCAAAAGGGGCTTGTTTTTTATTTGACGCAGGAGTTATCTTTTTTAACCATTACACAGTATGTTGACCTGTCTTGACGGTAAGAACTTGCCACATTTACCCCACTATATTATATCATGGTCAATGTGTTTTATTTTTGGTGTAAAGAAATATTTGCCTCTTAATATAACTAAACACAACATCTCCATTGTGCTAGATATTACCAACGCTTTGGGGAGATTAAGCGACAAGCTGCCATGGACTTCCTTCTTGGCCATGCGAACAGTCCTGAACTTCGGTTCCTCCGAAATTGCAGTTCTCCGGATATCGCAAGTCAAAAGGTTTGTCACCTCCTCCCCCACATTATCCTCGTTGTTTACTTTAAGAAAGCCGTAAAAATATGTATATATGTATATATATATATATATATATATATATATTAAGTAATCATGGGAAATTGGCAGGCTGAAAACGTAACTGCATACAAGTACTGAATGTTCTCCCTTGATGAAGTTACTTCTCTACTCCTTCTCCCCCCCCCCCTCGCCCCTCCCCCAGGGTCTACTACTCGTGGTATCTATCGAACTGTAACGATTTTTTGTTTTGGCTCCGAGAACTTGTGTTTTTTTCTCCCTCCTTCTGACTGGGATATTGGCCTGTGAATTATTAAAGAAAGTAGTTATAAACATGCAGACCAGTTAATATGTCCAGTTAAGTGCTGAGAGGTCGTAATAGTTGATGGTAGTAGATGAGGATATCACGAGCTCATATGAGTTCTGCTTCGTTCAATAGTTCGTTAAGTTTCTGATGTTAGTGATGTTTTTAATATTGAGTATTTGGTCGTGTTATTGCATATATTTTCTATGCACCTGTTTTTTTCCCAATATTCAGCTCTCCCGCAAGTTGTGTTTTGATTGGCCATCATTGGGTTTGTTAGAAATAATGGATTTTGCCTGTATTTTGCAAATGCTGTTGGTACTGCTTATTATTAGCTGCATTAAGCTTTCAACCAACATTCTAGGTTGACTTAAATCCCCACCCCAAAGCCCTTTTTAGTAACAGCCTGAAGAACGGCTAATTGCTCCTACGATTGTTTTCCATCTAAAAGTGAAGAGAAGGGAAAATTTCTGACCGACTATTGACTCCTCCATTTGAAGAAGTCATTAAGTATCCAATGAATGACGTTTTCGTTGAATTGGGTACTCGCAAATAATTGCATGTAAATGTCTAATTCATTATTTAACTGTTTCTTCTTTTTTTGTGCTTTATAACAGCTTCCAAATATCGAAGCATCTTCCCTTCTTGCCGCTGTTCGTTCGACTTGTTTGGAGAGTGATGAGGATTCATTCTTTGAATTTGTTGCTTCCACTGCAGTGGTGTAAGTGCTCTAAACGTATTTCACTCGCCATTGGCATGTAGCTTAATTTAGCTACTCAACTCTTCTTTTAGCACTACTGTAATAATATGTACACATGTACTTTCTTTATAATTGAGCTATTAGAATTGCTCTTCGCGCTATCTGTTTCAATGATACCAGTTATAGCGATCAATAATAACTAATTAAGCATTTGTAATCAAGAGGCGGGGGCAAGCGTCTACGACAGAGAAGGTAAATTAATTGGTGAAGGCTGAGGGGAGCCTCGTTCTAACGCTTTGGTGTATTCACCTCCTTATACTTATCTCCTCAACTCTCTACTCCCTAATCCATTCTCATTTCAGCATTTTTTTCTCATTTTAATGACAGTGCTATTAAAGCTTTTTTGACCACTTTTGTTTCTTATTTGCTTTATAAACAAAGGTGGAAATATTTAACTGGCCTCCAATGCTGGTTTTTATTTTTTTGTATCTAATGGAAATTTATTCGTAGGTGGGTTCTTTCGTGGTTGACGCTTTCAGATGGCACTTTTCTCACATGTCGAAGCAATAAAAAAAGAACGACTAGCATTCAGTAGCCCATAATAAGGATAAAGTTTATCACGAAGCTACTACGCAACTCGTATTTAATTCACTTTATTGAAATGCCACGAAGAATTTGATCAGTTGGTGTAGCGTTGGGTGAAATGCCCTTCAACTTCAATTTTACCAATATGCATGTGTGCATGTGTGTGTGTGTGTGTGCTGAAAGAGCTATGTTTGAAGACTTTGGTCTTGAAAGGTATAAATTTATCTTCATTCCTTTTCTTTATTTTGATATGATAAATCATCAACCATATGTAGTGCTCTTAATATAAACGCACACTTTAACCAGTCATTTATAGCTAATAAGTACAATTGTGATGTTTGTTTTCTATAATGATATTTACTATGACGGTGCCATGAATTTTGACTGCTCATATTAACAATCGAGATAGTGTCCTGTCCCGGGGTGTGCGATAGACTTTCCTCCACGTGGTACACCCTGGGTAACGTATACTCATACGGCAAAGAAGTCTATTAACCGGCAGTTGACTTCTCACTTCAAACTACCATCACCCCACTGTATGTCATATTCAACCACTCTCGCAGTACTCATCTTACCTTTTTTATGTCTTTGTGTCTGTCTGTCTCTTACATCTGTGAATCACTCTTCTGTTCCCCAACCCTCGACTTTCTGTTACTTTGATGTTTCTCCTCTCTGTGAAGCCCGAAGTCAACTAAAGGGCCAATGATAACTATCAAAACGCCTGCCATTTGATATAAATGTTCAGCACCACTCTAAAGTAGGAAGTGCTTCAACTGTGGCTTATTTTGTAAGAAGCTCCAACTACTTTAGGCTTATTTGATTGGTCACCTGTCTGTTTAGGTGAGTATGGGAGAAATAGTCCAGCGTTGAAGGCACTGAAAGTGTTTCCATTCTGCTTTTTGCCAGTTTTTTGCGTCCGTAGATAGATGGATGAAACAGGAAATAGAAATTATTGGAACAAATTAGAGAAAAAATCATTTATTGAGTCGATGTATTATGGGCATAGACACTTGACTGCCTTCTTGATAAGTGGATTCTCTACAGAAACAAGTTTAAAAAAGAGTGCTGAAGAAGTGTAAATTCATGCGAAATTCTTTTAGGTGTTTAGATCTTTTTTTCAATCGCCAATAATCTTCTCTCATTTTCAGTCCATGGATAACTCATTACGACCTTCAGACCTCGAGCTAATATTTTCTTTTCAGCTTAGTTTGCCATAACTTACCCATCACTTTCCCCATGCAATATAAATTTGATTAACGTTAATAAAATTCTGTTTATCTCATAATTGCAGAATTTTTTCCACCCTCTTTTTAGGCAATCCAGACGCACTGAGGTTAGAGCCTTTGGAATTCTGACTAGCCGATATCTCCACATCGTCAGGTACTCGTATTCGCTTTACTATTATTATTGTTGTTTTATCTTTGAAGGGGGTTTTAAACTGATCGAGAATGATGGAATTACATGCTTAAAACTCTCGCTAATTATTCTCACAGACATTTGTAATTTGCATAATTGCAGTAGTTGTAAATTGGGATGTCACATGCATGCGTTCTAAAAAGTCTAAGCTCAGATTAATGATCATCATTTCAATTGTTATGCCGAAATGCCTCATAAGTATCTTTGCATTTTTAGATTTGTTGATGATCCCTTGGTCAATAGTCAAGCTCATTTACGCATTCCCATCCAATCAATAAACCACGTTTCTCTTGGTAAATATTGATTTCTTAACTTACAATTTTGCCACCACTTAATCATGCGGAGCATCAAATATGGCTTAACCTTTTAGTAGTTGTGTGCTTACCCCACAATGGAGACTTTAAGGAAAAAACGATAATATGGTGATGTTAAACTTAGAGAATGGAAATTGTCCTTAATCAGAGATAAAATGTGGAAGTTTTTGTAGCTGCTCGGTTGCCGCGCATTCATAAAGCAAGACCTCTGTGGTGTAGTATTGCTAGGGAATCTAGTTCTCCTTCTGTGTTGTCTGCGGTCGGGTATTGCCACATTAGAAGGATGAGACAGAATGAGGTCAATCCAGGACACTTTGTCAACTAAACAAGTTGTCTTCGTATTATTGATGTCTAGACATCAAAATACCGCTAGAGTGACAGCAAAATTTATTTATAACAAATGGCAGTCGTTTTGATAGAGGGGAGGAGGAACATCAAAATGAGAAAAATTCGAGAGGGAGAACAGAAGAGTGATTCACAGATGTAAAAGAGACAGGCACAAAGTTGGAAAAAGGTGAGGCGAGTATGGTTGAAGTAGTCGAATTTGACATACAGTGGGATGATGGTAGTTTGAAGTAAGAAGTCAACTGCCGGTTGATAGACTTTTTTGTCGTATGAGTATACGTTGCCCAGGGTGCACCACGAGGAGGTAAGTCTATCGCACACCCCGTGATAGCAAAATTAGGTTGGTTGATGGGCAGCTTGCGTGAATTGATTGTCCCAAGGCAAAACATGAATTCAGTAGCTATAGCCTTTGCTTTGTCGGCTCTGTTGGAATATTTAAACTATCGCTATTAGCCCATTTATTGCTCGTTCTAAATATTATAAATTTGTCTAGAATATGGGAAATGGCTAAAGTACTAGAAACATGCATCGTTTATAAACGTAGTTGATGGGACTAAGTGGGTTTAAAGATTTAGTTCATTAGAAATACTCTAAGTATATCGGCGAGTGATGCTTTTAAAGAATTTTGCAGAGTGCAAAATAGTGTTCTTACTGTGACCTGCATCATTCTGACCCTTGCACATAATTACTATCCCATTGCGTATTTGAGTCGTATGTGTTTAGAACTACTAAAACCGTGTTCACTCTCTCTCTCTCTTCTTATTCACCAAAGCTAATTTCTTCAATTTTTATTTTCTAGCCACTGAAAATGCTTTGTTTAGGCAACCGACACCAGTGTTACATGTTTACTTCAAAGCTCCAAAAGGTGCCAGCTCCCAACATTCCAGGCCGTCTACTCGTAGTAATGTGAGTTCCCCTTCCTTATTGCAAAATTACTACTATTATTATTATTGCCGCTTTCATGGTGGTGCGCTTGTCTTCTGGTTAAATTCGCCTTTTGTCTTTCTACAATTTATCCTGTCATTTCTCTGATGAGATTTCCTGACTCTCTGACTTACTCTCAAACGTCTTATTCTGCTTTGCATACCCAAGTGGCAATAAACTTGATGACTTATTATTATCTACATATTCGAGTGTAGGCAGTGCTTACCCCTCCATTTGCCCACCAAAGAGTATTAAGTCAGCAAGAGGGGTGGGGGAGGGGGAGGAGAGATTAGGAAAAGAAAGTAAGGGAGTGAGAGAGGTACAAATAACGGGGCTTACAAAGGCAGGGGTTTGAGGAAGGTTAAGTTGGAGAGAGTCTGGTTGGTTGAAAGTGTTTTGGGGGATAGTACTCGGTAAGAGTTTTGAAATAACATTCCAACTTTTCCTTTTAACTCCTGTGTGTTGGACAGAGGTCACTGTAACAAATAATTGTAACTAAGTCAACATATTTGATAGGGCAAATAGCATGTTTGTGTGAAGGCTGACTGCAATTCGCTCATCTAGTACACCGAACGTAACTAATCATGCTGGAATTGTGTAGCTGCACTCATTGCTAAGTTATTGGGTTAGAATATTGCCTGCCGTAATTTGTCCTGAACCATTACTGAAGTGGTGTGTTTTTATACAAAAATCACCTTTATTTGCAGTTTCTTATTTCATTTGCCGATGGCGTGTGGGCGTTTAGGCCACGATCGTGATCACCCGTCTCGTTTTCTTACTTCTCTTGTGCAATCGTCAAAATGAGCCCTGGAGGGGGGGGGGAGTGTCAGTTAAACTGGCATTCACATGAGGACTAGTTTAAATGTGACTATTTGAAAATTATAGTGACGGAAACTATACTGACCATATAATTTGTGCTTATTTTTTCTTATAGCCAGGAGAGTGGCGATCTAGTGACGAGGCGAGTAGCGAAAGTAGGCGCTCAATTCAATCACCTTCAGCAGTCAAGAGATCTTCGCCATTCAACAGCGCCCACAATTATGATCAATATCGTCTTGACTTACGACAGGCACCCTTCCGCCTTTTCAATAATTATTTAGTTCCAATAACCAGTGCTGACGAAGCCACCGATTCTCTTCGTGCTATTAGTGAATTTATTACAGCGCTCTATCAGTCTATTGGTGAGTTGTGATATCTTTTTTTTATAAATCATATTTATCCTTCATAATATAGTGCGCACTAGTCTCTTTTAAGTAATAAGTTGAAGGGGGAAGGACAGCAAGTACCACTCGACTTGTCGTATATCGTATTCACGACAAAGCTTAGAGGTAACCAATTCAATATTCAGTGTTGGGGGTGGGGGGTTAATGTGATTGGTCGTTGCTCTTTACCCATTGGCCTCTTTCTTTTGGCAAGAATATCTTCTTTTCAACACACCAACCAGGCTTTGAGAAAATTGAGATTACTGATACATGGAACGGCAGCTGAAGATTTAGATCTATTTAACGCGCTCATTGATAACCACGGTGCCAAGACACGCTAATCACTATGACAAACCGGCTACACTGTTTTGTCATAGGAGTATCTCCAGGTTACCTTCCTTCCAGTCACGTTAAGCTGACACTTTTTTGAATGCGATGATTTGAGCATCAATGATATTGCTCTAAAAACACTCGCCAATAACTGAGTTTGCTTCTCTCGTCAGCCCAAAAAAAGATGGAAGTTTCCTATCGAAAATCTCCCCAGTTACCTTGCCCTTTTAAGTTAACCGTGTTAATAGCAAGTAGAAATAAAGCCTACAAAAATTACTGTTAAAAGAAAATTGTCAATTAGCTCTGAAATTGTACACATTCTTACCTCATAGAAAATGGATCACAATGTGGGGCGAATATTGGCAGAAATAAAAGCAATACTTTTTGGCACTACGTGTATGGGATCTGCGATTGTACCAGTCTCAACGAGGACTTTCATTGCTCCATTCCCGGTTTCTCCAAGTGTTTTATATAGAACCAAGCAAATTAAGTTAAAATGCCATATTGTTTGCACATTAAAATAAGCAATGCGATTCTCTTTGGGGACCCCTCGAGAAATCACCGATAGGACTTTGCGGAATATGTTTACCTGAGCTGAGTTGTGACCCGTCCGTTAAATCTCCCAATTCTTTCCTTGACTTATGTCCTGATCATTTATCCCTGTCTCATATTTCTAACATATGGGATTATTTATTTAAGACCCGACCGTCAATTTGGAGTTAACAACTACTCCAGATATTAGACAAAATAGCAGATCGGTGATGCAGCGACGAACAGCCCTACTTCTACCCCCAGAATACACCAAACCACTAGACAAGGAGGTTCGTTCTGCACTCAGTGAGCGACGTGATAGTCTTCGGCCCTTCCTCACGTCTCTCCAGCCAAATCGTCGCAATAGACGCTCTCAGGGCAACCGTGGAGGTAGTGAACAGCGTCGTTCTTTGGAACCCACAGCTGGATCGCGGCTTTGGGCCTTTGGTAATCCAGCTGCTTCCCAAACCCCTTCGGACCTCTCACCGAAATCTAGTGTAAAGGTTAGATTTCATTCATGCTAAACAGTGACTATTATTGGTTAATTTTTTTAGTGAACACTATTATGTACAGTGTCATAAAACCATCAATCATAAGGTGTAAAATCGCACGAAGAGTTGATGAATTTTGAATGGCTTTTTTAGGGCTTGGCACAGCCACATCTATTGGGGTCACGGTTCATCTAAGAGAGTGACATCAATCAAGGTGAACGTGCATAACCGAAAAGTTTACTTTGATGCGCAACGCGTCCTGACATTTTCCTTTGGACGTTTCGCATATTGCCTATTTCCAAGATATGCTAAAAAGCACGAGTTCTAACTCTTTTGACCTTGCGGTGAGAACCCTAACATAGCTTGTTTAACCTGTTCATGTCATTCAAATCAAATAGCCACCTAAATTGATGAATGGTTATAACGCAAGGTGTGCGTAAGTATCTTTTATTAAAAAAAAGGCACTTCATTGCTAGGGGATTTAAGATGAAAATTCGCAAATTCCCTGAAGGATATAATTGATTGAGACTCTAACACGAAGTGGCAAAGTTGTGTTGCATAGTTCTGGGGGGATTAACTTGTGACCTGATTGCACAAGTTAAAACTTAACTGGGTGCAATATATTTGCAGGTCATTAAATATACGCTCCTTTTTAGGGTATCATTCAGCTTACATCTAGGTTGAAAAGTAATCCCAAAGGCAGTTCTTTTACTAGTTCCTCCAGATAATTTGCCACCTTTTTAATTCACATAGGGAATTAGAAACTCTCTCGACAAATTATTGAAGCAGTCTTCAGCTCTGGTCGAGATAGTTCGGCCCAACACCGCGGGATCAGCTAAACAGGTTGGAGATACTGATGTCCGAACAAACGGTTCTTTAAATGTAAGTTGATATGCACCTCTCCTGCTTGAAGCGAACATTCGAAAACTGAAATTAACGTGTCCATTCCTCCTTCACCGTTTTCCTGAAGTCAATGATATCAATAATTTGTTTGTGTTAATTTAAGTAAATTGAAGAAATGTATCATGTCTTATTAATATTTTAAGGCACAACGAAATGATTATCAAGACAGGTCACCAACAATGAAAATGAAGATAATTCAACCCGTAAGTGAAGTGGACGGCAGAAGGCAGAAGTGCGCGGAGGAGATCCCCATTAAGGTATTCGCTGCGGCGGAACCTTTCGAAGACATTGAGGATGATAACGATGACGAAGCTAGTACCGGCTCAGACATTGAATTTGACCGCTTGGAACAAGGCATCGATGCTCTCATGGTTTCCGATATTGAGGACGTTCCAGAGGGCATCAGTGAACCCGCCAGACACACGTCATGTGAGTCTTAGTGTTTATTAATTTCTGTTTTTTAATGGTTCTTTTATAACCGTTCTACCCACTGGTTATCTCTTGACCACCTGGAACATGCTCCAAAAGAAAAAGCGATTTCAAATAAGGCTTAAGTGGAAAACCACTTGATCCGACCACATTAGTTCAAAATCAGCATAAGAATGAGATCGGAAACTTCAAAAGTAATGGGAAATAGTTGTAAATGAATGTGGAAGATATAATACATGGTGTCGTATACATTATTTAAACGGAAATAGCACTTAAATTTTACTTTTAAAGTGAGTGATGTATATGCATAATTAAATTGCTCAAATTGCTTTTTCTTAATCTTCCAGTTTCTGATTTACTCCACGAATTGCAAGATGCAGCAGCAGTTCCAGTAGAAGACACTTATGTTGAACAGGAAGAAGATGATACCTCTGAAGACCGTCATCCAGTGTCAGATACTGACCAGACTCATGCTCGACCTATTTCCTCCCTTCGGAAAGTTAGCGACGATGTCACCGCGAAACCCTCCAATGCCACCAGTGTAAATGATCCTCATATAACCATCTCAAACAAACTATCATCTTCACATCTTACTCAGCGTAATGTGACTCAAAGTTCCCCCTCGCAGTCTATCTTGAGTCCAAATCCTTGTAGTGGAATAACGAGGATATCTCAAGTGAGCAATTGGTTATTGTTTGCTCAAACAACCGGGATTTATACCAGCAATTTCCATTAAAATTAATATATGATTAAATATAATTAAATATTAGTTTCTTTAAGAATAAACGTTTTTTTTAAATTTCTCATAATTATGCTTTCATAATAGCTTGATTAACAAAAATGCTATTTCTTTTCTCTAGAGGCGTTCGAGACCAAAATCTGTACGCGACGACGTTTTGCTCCAACCACGCAGTCACTCATGGGATGGTACCCAAGTCAACAGACACAAAATGGTGCCATTAAAGAGGAATATCTCCGACACCCTTGTAGTTTGCTATCGTGAGGTTTTTTATCCGAAAGGAGATCAAAGAGATTCCAGTAGAGCCAGGAGGCTGACTTTAAAACACCAGTTGAACGCGCATTTTGAGGACTTCAGTATTCCATCGATCAATCGGTTACTGGAGTCCGCAACTCCCCCCAAAATCGTAATTAGATTGTTACAGCGACAGAAAGAGAATGCTGCCGCTATCAATCATGAACGTGATCTCATTTGTTCATTGAATGATGTTATAAAAACAAAATTCATTATATTTTGAGTCAGATATGTCTTTCCACTGTATGCTTTCTTTCGCTCTTTTTTTCTCTAATGACATTTGTGTATGTCATTTATTACTAACAGCTCATATCCTTCACATATTAACGTCTAAGTTGTACGTTCTTTAACAGTGATTTGTTTTTTTTGAGATAATGTGAGAATTTTATCAGTTTGGTGGCTTTTTTCCTCACCAAAACTCCATGAAAGGTGTGGGTGCTTCAAGAACCTTAAAATTGAATCAAATCAAATATATAAATTCATAAAAATGGAGAAATGTCTACTCATTTATGTATACCTACATGCCTATTAGGAAGCGCGATCCGATTTGGGGCTAACCTTTTTGTACTGAGAGCCAACATACATAAATTTCAACTTCATTTCCGGATATGATTGTAACAACCTTGGATAGATAATGTTGCTCGTCCCTTACATTTGTACTGAAGGGAGACCTAGTAAAGCACTATGGCAACTACCTAGCAATTTTGCGGTTATTCAATGTTCTTAATATGCAGATGGCGCATCGTTATATAAACAAATTATTAAATGACCGTTGGGTACAAAATTGAGTTCAATCTACCTTCATAGTGAAAAGAAGGCACGTCAAATTTCCTATTCTGCATATATTGATTGCGAGAAAGGATCAACAGACTTCAAATTCCATTTTGTGGGTCAATTAAGACATTGGTATCTTTAATTTCATCCTGTAGCTTCGACTATGATAAGTGGGAACCAAGGAGGCAAATTTTTGACAATCGAAGAAAGTTAAGTGTTTCCCCGTGACCATTAAATTAAACTATGTATTGCCACTTTCACATGACATTAATCATCGATGTCATCACATTGTCATGCTAAATCTTGGCATAACTTCTTAAATTATTTATATATTTTCTACGGTTAATTCGATTAGAACATACAATTCAGACTTTTTATACCAGTGTTTGAGTAATGCCCCCTTTCCTCTCTAAAGCACAAATCATAACTTGTGATGTTCGTAATGCCACTAATAATTAGTCCAATTATATTATGTTATTTTAGTATTACATAAATTTAACGTAAAAGGAAAATGCGCTGGTTAATGAAGAATAAATAAGTATCAGGCAACGCCTAAGATGCATAAATTGATCAAGAGAAATTCTTTACAATATGATTATTTGCTTAAAAAAATTGAAATATGTGAGGGTTCATTGAAGATAACACAATATTAATAAATAATTCCTCAGTCATTTGAACAATAACGCGGTGCCAAAGTCATGAACTATTTTTAAATGCATAAAGGATTTTGTTATTTAATGAAGAAATGATTGCATGATAAATAAAAAGTTATTCAAAGTTTCAGTATCAAGATAATGATGCAAAATTATTGCTCTACTTTTTTATTGGCTTATTTCTAAAGGTCGTTGACTAAATTGTCAGAGTCATATGTAATTCGCAATAGTTTGCAATTGACAATGGATATTGAAGATAATTTAATAATAGTCAATAATATAGTAAGTTTGAAATGTAATATATATTTTTATAGACTTACGACCTTCGGAACGTCTCCGAAAGTGAGGCTGCTAGACTTAGGCACCTGAAACTTCATGAAGAGCACAAAGGTCATGAGGCTATGCACTTGGAAATGCTTCTGATTCTCATCTTCTTCTCATTTGGTTGCCAATTTCTATTAATGCTTTGGAAAAAGTATCGGCCGAAGTCATACCATCTCTTCACCCTTATTGCCATGTGGATCGTGCCTATATGCTACTCCGTGTACATGTTATACTTTAGGTTTATCGCAATATGGTTCCTCTTTTCTCTCATATCTGGGGTGATGGTTTACCTCAGCTCCAATCCACAAATCGCAACAACTACTCCTAGGACTGTATATTGGTGGTTTCTACTCATGCACAAGGTTTCTTACTCTGCGACTTTGTTAGGCTATCTTCTGGTTCTCTTCTGTATGTTTATTCCACAGATTATAAGCCCTACTTTTGCCTTTCCTGTCGGTGGTCTAATCCTGTTTTATGGCGTATACTTTGGTCTCATCGCTCGAGATTTTGCCGAAGTTTGTACAGATAAAATGGCAGCTCACATTAGCGTAAGTTTTCTAATGTATTCACTGAATTGAGCCGTGTTATCTTTAGTATTTCTCAGAAACAGGCATTCCTTTGAGAAAAATTGATCCCAGTGTTTGTGCTCTATGTACCAAGGTCATGTTGAATGGACAAGGTGAAAAGAAGTATAAACTTAATTGTACACATGTGTAAGTAGTCGAAATTGCCTTTGTTTCTTGAAATGTTTTTAATTTTCTTATTATTATTTATTTCTCTTCAGTTTTCATGAATTTTGTCTTCGTGGTTGGTGCATTGTTGGCAAAAAGGATATCTGCCCTTACTGCAAGGAGAAAGTAAATCTTCACAAGCTCATAAAAAATCCGTATCCTTTACACATTTTACATATCAATTTTAATGATTTAATACTCGTTAATTTTTGGGTAATTTGCTGTTGTAATTTTATTGATCGTGTTTTTTCTTGAAAGAATTGCTAGGTCACAATTTAATGCGCTGTTGGCAGTTGAATTGATTAGAGTTGTTCTAAATAATCGTTTCATCATCCTTGATAATTTGTTCCAAAATCATGAGTGAGTTATATCCCCAAAATTATATTTGGACCAGGAGAGAATAAGTCTCTTCGTTCATTTCAATCACTTAATATTAGTCCTTATGCCTCTTAGGTACGGTTTCTTTTTTTAGAAATCTTACGAACAATGAATTTTATTATTGTGTTGTCGCTACGTGATGTATTGTCATCCTGATAGTCATTTTAATTTTTAATGAGATTTTGCCATTTGCAATGCGATACCCCTTTTTTCTTTCATTTCTTTATGTTTTAAACGAGTTGAGTGCTTATGTTTTCACATATATTTAAGCCCGCCATGATCACATGCTTTGACGTGGTTTATAAGTACTCCATTGGTTCTCTTATTACATTCTAGGCTCCTCTTCATTGTATTTTTTGGCAAATAACTTTTTACCTCATTAGCATTCGTTGAAAAACATTTCCAGGTATGTCGAAGAATAACTTCTAAATGGAATCTTAGTGAAATCTTTTAATCCCTTAGTGGGTCATTCCTCCATTTATGAAGCCATTTAGCGATGAAAATGTCTCTTAAATTCTCAGCAATTCAGCTTTTCTTAACATGTCTCGCACATTTATGCAGTTTCCACTCCAACTGTTTTTGGCAGGTCATTCTTTCTACTCTGGTTGTTGCAACATGTTTACCAGTTACAGTTGCTAGTTCACCTTCACCAGGTTGTCCTGTGTTTTATATAAGTCTAATTCTGCTAGCTTTATTACACCTATTTTCCCTTAACCCTAAACCTCAAAATAACAGCTGGGAAAAGCCTCACCTTCTATTTGGCAATCTGCTGGACGGTATCCGCTATCTAGTCGCGTGGCAACCGTTGATCGTAATGGCAGTACATACCATTATATGGGCCTTGGATTTGAAGTAATTACAACAAAGATGCGCATTTCGTTCTGCTATCGTCTATTAACCTGTGATTGCTTGTTGACAAAATTATAAAATGTGAAGGCATTAAATCAGTCTTATTCTTGTCACTGTGTAGCGTATTCATTGCAAATGTGTAGATATGTCGAGATTCAGTTTAACACGGGAAATTGTAGCTATCAAAGATGGGCGCCTAGTTTCAGCTTTTTTAGGAAGGATGCTGGCTATTGTGTACCAGTAAATACTCTTTTAAGGTTAAGGAGTATTAAGGTAGAAGATTCTTATGTAAGAAACGAACGATACGTTTTCTCCCTATTGTCGCTAGCTTAAAAGGAAAATTCATCTTCCGCTGTTTCTATGGCAAGGTAAAACACCTGCTCTCGAAATGCGTGGCCAGTTTTTCGCGTTACACGGAAGAACTCAATCCTAATAATAGTACTTTTCGTAGTTCGTCCTTAGTTATTAACCTAAATTAACAAGGTGCAAACTAGAAAGTAACGTAAAATGATTATTTCGTATGTAACAATAAGATAAATCGACAATTGATTTGTAAAATTATTTATGTACAATAAATAAAAACCAATGGAAATTCAGTTATTCGGAACGTCTAGGGTCTACAGTTTCCCCGATGGGAGGCTCGAAAGGAGGTGCTGGTGCTGGACTTTCGGAATCGAAGTAGCTTTCTTCAGCATCGCGACCACGCTCTTCCAATTCATCATCCAGCGTAACGTCGTTGTCTATTGTCCTTTAAAGGCAAGATAAATATGGGAAAAATTAGCCCATCGGAACTCTGATTCAAAAAAAACATTTTCTTAAAAATTGGTGCAAGTTAGTTATATATGGAGCACACCTTAATAGAGGCTGAAAAAGGCAAACTGTATATTGCAGTCTCAACGGAAAGCTGGTAACATTCTTAGTGTGAGCTAAAGAACATCGAAATAGGGTCAAATCACAAAGTACTAATGACTTAAAATAGTGAGCAATTACGCATTTGAAAAATACTGTTGAACAATTCAAATGAACTTTGAAAGAGAAAGTCTCTTGGAGTAAATCAATATTAAATAATTCAGAAGGCCAACCTCATCATAGTAGGCAAGCAGATTTAGAACTAATTCCACTCGATGAACTCACTCATAGTCCACGGTACTATCATTGCCGGCAAGGAATCGTGAATACATCAATTCTCTGAACTCCTTATTCGCACACTCATATTTTTCTTCTGTCTCCTTTTTTCCTTCTCGCCTTTGTTCTCCATTCCTCATTTCTTCATCCGATTCCTCCTAAAACAAAACCATAAAGTAAAATTAAATTTGTACTATAGAAAAGTAAGTAGCAAATACGAAATAAATCTAAGTATTATGAAAAAGTACATATCCCAACCACTTATAAGTATTTAGGCAACATGGAAAAAATCCGAATTCTTACCTCATCAGTATCATCCGGCCGTCGATCTGGCATTCCATCGGATTCCAAGAGTTGGGAGAGTAGCATACCACTAAAAGATTCATACTGGTGACCCAAGAGAGAGCGTCTGTGGGCATCGGTGAGGTGACGGCCCACCATGCGTTCCCATAGCACTGGGTCGCGTTCACGCATAGATTCATGGGAGAAAAAACCCTCCGTAGGATCAGCATTCGCTTCTGCTTCCATTCGGCGCAGGGCCTTAAATATAATCAAAAACGAAACAAGATAAAAACATATTTAAATTCACTCAGATCTGTAGTACCTACATGACATAGATAAAACAGAATACGAGACCCTTCCCAGAGAAGGAGTCAAAACAGTTTGTTCTAGATTCGGACGCTTGGATAGATTGAGGCTGTAATAGGCGCTAATGGTGGTTATTTTGAGTAAAACGAGACCATCACCATCTTCACATTCTCAATGTCAATATCCACTAAATTCTTCATTCCAACACTTCATGAGCGATAAGCAGCGTACCGATTAACTAATGCAAGGCAAATGAAATCACAACTAGTCAATTTAGAAATTAAGAAACAATAGTGTTAGTGTTTATTATTAATCACAAATATAATTCTATGAGAATAATTGTTCAGTGGTAGAGATTTGATAATCGCATCTTTACTATTATAAATTACATTACAGGGTTTGATTCATTTGAGTCATGTGCAAATTAGTGCCAACCAAAGGGAAAATTAGGCGAAACTTAATTGCATATTGAAAAAAAACGGGAAAAAGAAGTAAAGAAAAATTCATACCACTAAACGACGATTCTTAATCTGCAATTCTCGTCTGCGTCTAAGATTCTCACGAATATTCAACTCATCGGACTCTTCATCCAAGTGAGAGTTCTGAGCAGATTCAACGGGTTTAGCAAATCCAACAACCTCTTTCAAATAGTAGGACACAGTGTAATCATGCCAGAGTTCATTGAAACATACAGCATCATCGGGCCAGGAGAGAAATCGATAATATCGAGCAAGAAATTCACCCGGATTGCGTCGCAGCAAATCACCCGCTATTCGTATCTTCTCCTCTTGTGAAAGGGGTGGCTCATCTCGAGTTTGATGTCGAAAATGCGGACCCACCTCCATTGCAGCCAGACGCTTTAGCATCACTTCTTCGGGAGCACTCAGCTCAATTGTCATTGTTATCTACTATAAATTGCAATATTCCGAAAATCATCATAACATGCAATGATTCGCAGTCATCCACACTTTACTTCTGCCCACTATTAGAGCGCGGATTTATCGGCAATTTTATCACCGACCTTACAAACTTGGATCATTATACACCTGGCTACACATACCAGATAAGCTGATTGGTTTTATCAGTGTGATCGCGATCCTAACTAGCTAAAATATATAAGTCTAATTTAGATAAAGGCTAAATAAGAAAGGACAGACCGCTACCTTACAAATAGCTATTAGATAAAGGTTTCCAAATCATAAAAAACTCATTTTGAACCTCAAAAAGATCAACGAACGCAGTAATTCACAGGTTAGAGACGGGTGTTTTCTCCTCATAAGTTTAGCATTTATGCAATAGAGACAAATAAAACGAAACATATTTCAAAACATAGGAAAACATCTGATTGGCATTGCAATTATATTAGCATTAATTAAACCCATGACAATAGACTCGGTTGATAATGGAATATGTAAGTTTAACACAGTTTAAACAACAGACACCCGATCAAACAAACCTCACAAAAGAGGGCAACAAAAAATTAATTTCATTTTAGTAAATATAATTTATTTTACTGTATCAAAACTGTACATGGGACATTGGGGCTATTATTTATGATTTCGAGGATGATACATTTGTAGAAACTACACATCTCTTCAGAAAATCATCAGCTGAAAGAAAGAAAAACTTTGCTTATTATTAATGAACAGAAAAGATTCAATTTAGAAGAAAAGTAAATCAGGAAAACAAGCGAAAAATAAAGCGCTGTGAAAACCGTAACCAAATGGACATTCTTCGGTACGCAGGTTTCATTCCAGGGACACTGATCTATCAATTATGTGTGTTTATTTTCACTTATACAGGCAAATTAATTTCCAAACAATGGAACCAACCTTTGCGTTGCGGGGTGTGCGATAGACTTACCTCCACGTGGTGCACCCTGGGCAACGTATACTCATACGGCAAAAAGTCTATTAACTGGCAATTGACCTCTGACTTCAAACTACCATGACCCCACTGTATGTCATGTTCGACCCCTTCACAGTACTCATCTAGCGTTACGGGTGTGCGATAAACTTACCTCCACGTGGTGCATCCTGGGCAACATATATTCATACGGCAAAAAAATCTATTAACTGGCAGTTGACTTCTCACTTCAAACTGTCATCACCTCACTCTATGCCATATTCGAATATTTTCACAGTACTCACATCTTACTTCTTTGAAACACTCTTCTCTTCCCTCCCCCCTCTCGACTTTTTTCAATTTGATGTTCCTTCCCCTCTGTGAAGTCTGTAGTCAACTAAAGGGCAAATGATAACCATCAAGACGCCTGCCATTTGATATAAATAAATACCTTTGCGTTGCAGGGCTTCCGCTTACTTTGTATTAGAATCAACGGGAGTTAAAAACACCTTTAGCATAATATTATCTTGATAGGGGTCTAAGTAGTGTTGCATCTAATTCATATAATTAGTTAAGTGAATTGAATAAAAATTTCAGAAGAGCAGAATGATCCCCTAATGTCAAATAACACTTCTATAATAAAAATAGAGAATTTCATCTGTGCTATGACTAAATTGCTCAAACTAACCACTCATCTGATCGTCTAGAGATTCTTGTTTCTCCTCGATTCCGTCGAGATGTACAAGAGGATCAGTTTCAGCGTTGTCATTGTTGCCCATCAAGTCGACCAGCATGCTTTTCTCAGGCCTACTCGGTCCGTCCTCAATCTGGTCGTCATCATAATCGTCACTATCGACGCCCGTCTCACCTGAAATTTAAATTACAGTCTGGTTAGGATAAAAGAGGCGTGTTAAGCTCTACATCGAATAAATACTAAGTATGTTGCTATACGTAATATTGGATATTTACTTCCAACAAAATATTTATTTATATCAAATGGCAGGCGTTTTGATAGTTATCATTACCCCTGGAGCTGACTTCGGGGCTTCACAGAGAGGAGAAGGAACATAGAGACAAAAGAGACAGAATAATGATTCACAGAGGTAAAACAGACAGACAGACACAAAAGCATAAAAAGGTAAGATGAGTACTTTGGAAGGGGTCGAAT